TTTTTTTTTTACATTTTATTTAAAATTTAAAAGTAATTAATATTTTTAATAAAATGTAAAAAAAATAATTATTGAGATATAACTATAGACCTAACGTATAACTATTATTTGAAAAAAAAATCAGCTAAAAATATTAACTGGATCAAAAGTTATTTAAGTTGTCAGTGAGTGGTGGGCCATTCTGTATATATACATGTAAAGGGACTTGAGTACGTAAACGTATCATGCATGAGGTGTAGCCGTGTTTTGTGGCGGGTGAACATTATACACGAGGCAGAAGCGTCGGCTGTAAGAATATATAAATGAATATTAACATATACGTATAAATATTAATATATATATTAATATTAGCGGTGGCGGTAGGAATATATGAACTTCGCATAATATCGCGACACTTTTGATGGCGTCGACGACGCGATGTCCGGCGTGATCCTCGGGCGTCAAAAGGTTAGCAGCGTAGATGACAACAGTGCGCGAGTGCGGATCGGTTTGTTGACGTTGTCACTTGGACAACGGTATCATTAACGGCAGGACGTCGTCGGCCGTGCGGCATTTTCTGGACTTTGCACCGCGGCGTAAAACGACGCGGGTATGTGTCAATTACAATAAAAATTTGTTATATANCACTTGCTGGACTTTGCACCGCGGCGTAAAACGACGCGGGGCTGTGTCAATTACAATAAAAATTTGTTATATATATATATATATATATAATTGATGACACGCGCGCGTCTACGGGTTGGAAAATATTATTTTCGACGACTGTAGAGCGGGGTGGGTGAATGCGTTACGACCGTCTAGTCTCGTGCGCTTGTGCGTGGAAAGTTACAAACAACTCACAACACACAACATACAAGTGAATCTAATATAAGCGTGTTAATAAATATAATTAAAAAAACTAAAAAAACACGCTTTTAAACTATATTTATTTTTTACTTTTTAGTTTCATGTTACGATAGTAGTTACTATCAATATCATGGTTGTTACGGGTAACGGGAAATCAGGGTTCGATTCCGGGGTGGGAGTCTGAGAAACGGCTACCACATCCAAGGAAAGCAGCAGGCGCGTAAATTACTCACTCCCGGAACGTGGAGGTAGTGACGAAAAATGACGATACGGAAATCATCCCTCGTAATCGGAATGAATACTTTATATCTCTTAATTAGAATAAATCGTGTTAATATATTAATTTTAATAGTAATTAGAATATGTATACATGTACAAATAATGCGACTTAACTACGTAAACGTATCATGCATTAGGTATAGCCGTGTTTTGTGGGCGGGCGGGTCGGACTAACGTTATTCCTGAGGTATAAACGGCGGTAGGAATATATACGTAAGACGAATGCACGCGGATGATAATGGTCGGTCAAAATAAAAATTTGTTTATGTATATATAATATTAATGACAAGCACGCGCGTACGGGTAAGATAACTAAAAATAAATTTTTATAGGAATAGTGTGCCGTCGTGTGGTGAGCGAGGCGTGGGGTGGGGTGAATGCGTTATGACAGTCTAGTCTAGACGACGGAATATGCGATAACGCGTGGCGTTTGGAGAGTTACAAACATACATACATACAGGTGAAACTAATATAAGCGTGTTAAAAATGTAATATTTGCGATAAAAATCCACCTTCTATAAGAATGTTTTTTGTACTTAAAACTGCCATATATTAACATATAATTAAATATTAACAAATCAAAAAAATATTTTTTTATATTGAAACCTTATGTAATTTCCTTTCATTTGATATCATTTNTGTATTGAAACCTTAGATATTTCCCTTTCATTTGATATATTTTTTTTTGAAAATCTAACACTTATTCTGCTCACAAGGGGGATTTAAAATAGCAACTTTTTTTACAAAAACTAACTTTTTCAACTTAGTTTTTGAAAATGTTTCGGAAATACTGCGTCTTTTAAACATGTATAAAATTAAAGCTTATTTTATGTACTATAAAATGAAAAAAAAAATTTGTCCCGACGACCTATCTGCTATGCGAAAATGGCTACCGTATTCAAAAATATGCTATTTTAATATTTAGGTTAATGTTGCTTTTGTAATTATCCATCAATTTCTTAGAATTAAACACTATCTACAGATTTGCATCGAAGCGTTTCTTATGATAGTGATTTTAATCACTGTCAGATTAAATCTATACTGGTGAAAAATCAACAAATCAACATAATTTTTTTTTATACTAAAACCTTAGATATTTACCTTTCATTTGATATCATTTTTTTGAAAATCTATCACTTAACCTGCTCATTGGGGGGGATTTAAAATGGCAACTTTTTTACAAAAATTAATTTTTTCAACTTAATTTTTGAAAATGTTCCGGAAAGACTGCGTCCTTTAAACATATATCAAATTAAAGCTTATTTTATGTACTACAAAATGAAAAAAAAAAATTTGTCCCGACACTTTTTTTTCTACATTTAAACGGCTGCCGTAGTTAAAAAAACACTATTTTTGTGTTAAAATTTTCGATTTTCGATTTTAAATTTTCAACTTAAAAATGCTATAACTTTTTGAAAAATGTATATATCAGCACAAATTTTTTTTTTCTAAATACATTATAAGTACATCTTTCATTTGACATACTTTTTATTAAAATTGGACAATTTCCCCTTATATAGGGGGCGTTCAAAACTTAAAATATTGTAAAAAACATAGATCTTTTTCAACTGAACTTTTGAAAATGTTCCGGAAATACTGCGTCCTTTAAACATATATCAAATCAAAGGTTATGTTATATACTATCAAATGAAAAAAAAAAATTTGTCCCGACATCTTATCTTCTATGTGCAAATGGCTGTCGAAAATTCTAAAAAAAATGTAATGTTTGCGATAATAATTACATTTTATCGGGATGTTTGTTGTACTTAAAACTGCCATAAATTTTTCAAAAATGAATAAATAAAAATAATATTTTTTTGTATTGAAACCTTAGATATTTCCCTTTCATTTGATATAATTTTTTTTGAAAATCTAACACTTATTCTGCTCACTGGGAGGATTTAAAATAGTAACTTTTTTACAAAAAATAACTTTTTCAACTTAATTTTTGAAAATGTTCCGGAAATACTGCGTCCTTTAAACATATATAAAATTAAAGCTTATTTTATGTACTACAAAATGAAAAAAAAAAATTTGTCCCGACGATCTATCTTCTATACGCAAATGGCTACCATATTGAAAAATATACTATTTTTGTATGATAATTATGGGTTTTGTATTTTATTTTAATAGAAGTTGATGTTGCTTTTGCAATTATCCATCAATTTTTTAAAATTAAACACTATCTACAGATTTGCATCGAAGCGTTTCTTATGATAGTGATTTTAATCACTGTCAGATTAAATCTATACTGGACCCTACTATGCAATCTCTACTATGCCGCGACCCCACTGTGCTACCGTTTTTTGTTTATTTATATATGTATTGGTAGAATGACTAAGGGAAGGAAAGGAAGGAGAAGTTACGACTTCGACATTAGATATATTTGTATTTTTAGCAATATCAGAAAAGGTAAAAGCTTTATTAACTAAACTGGAACGTTTGATCGAGGAGGCTTCAGAAAACGAGACATTGTTTGTGGCCATTATTTTTTTAATGACCTTTTGCACAGACAATTCGCTGCAAGATCTATCCGTCGCAGCGTGGTTAAGTTTACAAAAAATTCACGAAGGAGTTGTGGTTAACTTGACGTTACTATTAGATTCAGTATGGTCAAAGAGGCCGCAGTGACTGCAGCACTCCTTACTGCGACAGAATTTGAAGGTGTGACCAAAACATAAACACTTGCGACATTGGACAAGAGAACGAATACTCGTAGAAACATCGAAAATAACTTTGTACATTAATAATTTTTCAGGAAGAGTTGCTGACAAAAATTTAAGTTCAACTAAATTTGAAGAAACTAGGATCTTATCTTTTTTTATATTAATGCGTCTAAATGAAACAACTTTGACTGAACATTCATAACCTTCCCAAAAGTCTTCTTCAGAGGTACTTTTGTCAAGACGTATGATTCCAATACTATATAGTAAAGTGTTACGAATATTCGCAGAGTAGCCGTGTTCAGAAAGAGTAGGAGAAGTGAGTCAATTGTTGGCGTTAATAACCGAATCAAACGTGATTTTCACACGCTTAGAATAGAGTTTATGCTCAGAATACAAGAAAATAGTTTGGAAACAGTTTTACCGAGCTTAACTAGGTGAAAATTACCTAAGTTATTATCGCTAGATGCAGAAATAAGTACGTTAAAAGGACCAATGTAGTGTAGTGGAAAGCATTTAGGAACATTGGGTTGCATGACTGTTGATATATTAGGAGAATCGACATAGAGCGAGTTTATGTTTTAAGTTGGCGAACCGGGTGACGTCATCGCGATGACTTCAGGTGAGCTACAACCCATGCTGCTAGTTTGAGATTGGGGTCATTAGATTTTGGTTTATCGTCAGATAGGTTTTTTGTGTAAAGGGCTAGTTGGAGATTTAGAACCTTGATTGTTCTTACCACAATAACGAGAATTATCCATGGTGATTTGTGGGTTGGAAGATTGCAAAGTGCTTCTACGGCGCAGTGGGGAGTGTTGCTGATCACCTCCTCCATGATTAGGTCTGGATTGCATCCAGAGCCTCGGTGGACACCGTAAATGTGCCAAAATGGCGAAACAATGGTTTCAAAATTGATAAAAACTATGAATAAGCAGAATAGTACTCCAAAAATAGGCGGGTAACTATAAACGTACGCGAGATAAACACGTCCGTACAATATGACCGATAAATCGTAACTGACAAATATGAGTATTTTATCTAATTTGCAATTTTAATAATTTTTTTAAAATATTAATAACTATTAAAAATCAAGATTTCATTTTTCATTGAAAAAAAAATTTCAAGAATATTTAATAAACTCAGTTATTTATTAGTTCAGTCTTGAATTAATTTTATTTATTAAAGATTTTAATAAAATAAATAGTTAAATAATGTTTTGATTTTTCAAAGATTCTATAAAATCTTCTTTATTGACAATAATATTGTTTTCATAGCCTTCTTTTGAGATACCTAAACAAATAAATTTTAGGTAATTATTTGAAAAATTCGATAGTAAGCATTTTATTAAGTATATTATTTGTTCATATTAATACCTTTCACTAAATTTTTATCTTGAATGACTCTTTTTGCACTGATCAACCATGCATTGTAACAAATACCATACAAATCAGCACCTGTTATCATATTTGGTAAATATTCCACGATATCTTCAAGAAGAAAATCAGAACTCAATTTAAACCTAATAAAAATTAAGTAAGTTTTTATTTTTAAAATAATTTAACCAAGTTTGTTCATTTTAATGATTCTACCAATCTTGTAATTAGAATTTCAGTATTAAAGCTATTTATGGTAATTTGTATTTTAAAATATGTTCTATATGTTAAGTACTCTAAATACACTTAGAATATTTTTGGCACTTATTAGTATTTAGAATATTAAATACTTCTTAGTGTAGCATCCATTTACTATACTGAATAATCATTATGATTCCTTATATGATGAAAATTATTAATAGGAAAGTTTAGAGAAAAGAAGAAAAAGCTGTGTGTGGTATTTATAAATTCGGAGAAAGCGTATGATAGAGTACCGAGAGAGATTTTAAAGTGAGGATTAATGAGGAAAAGAGTCCCGAAAGGTACAATAATATAATAGAAGATATGTATGATGGTACTTGTGCTAGGGTAAAAAGCATAGGAGGAGTATCAGAAGGTTTTCGGGCAAGAGTAGGAGTGCACCAAGGTTCTGCATTAGGCCCTTACTTATTTTCTATAATGATGGGTGATATTACTAGAGAAATACAAAGAGAGGTGCTGTGGTGCATGTTGTTTGTGTTAATAGGAGAAAATGAATCAAAGGCTAGAGGTGTGGAGATCAGCTCTTGAAGAAAAGTGTTTTACTTTAATAAGTAGAAGTAAGACAGAGTATATAGAGTACGAGTTTGACAAAGGAGAACACGAGGTAGGTGAAATGAAAAGATCAGTGATAATAAGTGAGGACGTGATTGGAAAGGTGGAGAGTTTTAAGTATTTAGGGTCAGTTGTGCAAAAGAGTGCTGGTATTGACGAGGATGTAAGATATAGAATTAAGTGCGGGTGGTGGAAATAAGGAGAAGCGTCTGGCGTCTTATGCGATAAAAGAATTACAATGAGGCTGAAAGATAAATTCTACAAGACTGTAATAAGGCCAACTGTGATGTATGGTTCAGAGTGTTGGGCGGCTGATAAGAAAGTAGAGCAGAGATGAGAATGCTTAGATGGGTAAGTGGAGTGACTAGAAAAGATAGAATAAGGAACGAGCATATCAGAGGGAGTATAGGTGAAACGTCAATCGTAGATAAGATGAGAGAAAATAGATTTAGATGGTTATGAAGAGAGAGGAATAAGAAGCTATAAGAACAGTTATGGAAATGAATGTTGAATGAAGAAGAGGTAGAGGAAGACCATAAAAAGATGGAGGGATGCTATTGAATGCGATTTGAGGACAGCTGTTGTGAATGTAGATGATGTGGGAGATTGTGTCAAGTGGAAGTTTAGGATAAGGGTGGCCGACCCTAAGTAGTTGTGATTAAAGCGAGTAAAAAGAAGAAGTATTTAAATATGTATATTAAATACATTTTATAAATATTTTTAACAAATCTGTCTATATGATGATGGTAATTTCTATCTAAATGTATTTCTATAAAAATGACTGGGTTTATGGAAATCGGACAATTATCAACCACAAGATAAAATAATTGCCTGCTGACTACTGAATAATTTTTATTAATTAAGAATTAAATACATTAAATTAAGTTTTTTATATTAAAATAGGATTAATTGGTATTTAAAATTTGGGATTTTTTTTGTTTTGTAGCAAAGCATAGGCGTTAAGTAAACAAGTGCAAATATTTTTTTATATTAAGCTAAAGGAAGTCTAATATTTTATTATTTAACTAATCAATTGAAATAAAGTTTCTTTGTATTTTTTTAAAATTTATGCCTTTACAAAACAAAATATTTATTTGAAATTAAATAATTGGTCAGTTTTTATTTAAATAAAAAGGTGACAAATGTTTTGCGTACACAGTCATATGTTGTCTTTGTTGTGACCACCCCATCAATATGTGACTGACCGTTGGTAAAAATAACTGGACGAGTTCCACGCGACTCGATAAAACGAGTCATTATTCATTAACAATCAAACGCTCGCTTGAGTATCGTTGATACTGAACAATATATTATTGTTTCTCATTCTTTTTCTTTTGTGCTCTTTTGAAGCATCGTAAACTCAATAGAAACTTGGTGTAGTTGAAGCGGTACACCCCGGTCCAGACCACATAGTTAGAATCGCTATTATTCGCACGGCGGAGACCACGATGAAACGACCAGTGGTTAAATTAGCGGTATTACGGACTGATCCAGATTCGCCTTCTTAAAATATTTGATTACACGTTTTGTTTAATTGAATTTCGTTATTTTCTGCATTAATTCCTTCTTATTCGTCATTATTTCCTTTAATAATCCTACAAGCTGTTTGAGAGTATATTTTTATGTAAATATTATGTATATTTATCTACCTTTTTATTTTTTTTTATTTTTTATTGTATAATTATTATATACCAAACGGTATTAAAAAAAAATGTCGTCAATCCTTTTGTTAATACACTGACATGTTTCTAGCATTACCAAGGTTTATTTGTATTTATTTTATTTCTCATTATTGTTCATAATATGATCCACGGGCTATGGTGACCGAGAAATTCATTGAAGTCCAAAAGATCTTTATATGTTGAAAGACATATCTACGTTTTTCAATGGAGGAGGATGTTGCGTACACAGTCATATGGTGTCTATGTTGTGACCGCCCCATCAATATGTGACTGACCGTAGGTAAAAATAACTGGACGAGTTCCACGAGACTCGATAAAATGAGTCATTATTCATTAGCAATCAAACGCTCGCTTGAGTATCGTTGATACTGAACAATATATTATTGTTTCTCATTCTTTTTCTTATTTTTTTGTGCTCTTTTGAAGCATCGCAAAGGTGTATACACGAATAGTTTCGTATACGCAAAAATTCTCTACCGTCGGGACGAGTTAACTTCATTTCCACGCTGTGGAACGCATTCTGTACCACGTCTCCTGTAATTCGCAATCCAGCCCCAATTAAGGTTGCTGTCATCCATGGACATACATACAGGTCACATTTATTGTATATTTTATTGGTAATTTGTGTATGAATATATTAAGTACATCTGTGTATATATAGTTTTAGTTAATTTCTACTAACATTAATTTAAGATTATTTTATATAAGATGTTTTACTTAGAAATAATAATATAACTAAACATTATTCAACATTCCTTTTCTTATATACATATACATCTACTCATGACACGCAAGTAGTGTTCTCCTTTTAAATTTTAGTTAAAGGAACACTCAAACAAAATGTTCTAAAACATAGCCATACACAAAAAAAAATATTTTTTTGGATTAAATTAACTTAGCCTTCAGAAGTTGGATCACGCTTATTGTTTTTCGGATTGCTGAAAGTCTCTATAGTTTAAAAATCTCCAGTAAATCAGGATTTTGATTTTCAAAGGAAACTCATGAAATTTATTCATCCAACTTATATGCTTGGCTGAGTTTTTAAAGGTAATGTCAAAACACTGACATGCTGGGGGTTTCCTACCTCAAAAATACAGTAAACAGGTCTTTAGGCAGGAAAAAAATATATTTTTTGTGTGACTGTGCTAATACTATTTATTTTTATAGAATAATATTAGTGATAATTAATGACAGCATAAATACTAAAATACATACTTTCTAGTAAGAGCTTTGAGTACATTAGTTTTTGATACTTTGTCTTCACAACCACCTACGTAAATACTTTTGTCAAGTCTAATACAAAAAAAATAATTCTGATTATTTATTAAATATTAATTTTTTACTAGTTAATAATGGCCATTCCCACAAGACCTAGATGTGAGAGATAGATTTATTTAAAAAAAAACCCAGCACAGGGGGATTGCGGCACAGTGGTGACGTGGCATAGTTGGATTAAGTAAAATGATATCTGACAGTGACTAAAATCACTATAAAAAAACCCAGCACAGGGGGTCCGCGGCACAGTGGTGACGTGCCATAGTTGGATCAAGTATAATGATATCTGACAGTGATTAAAATCACTATCAAAAAAGAACGCTTCGATGCAAATCTTTAGATAGTGTTTAATTTTAAAAAATTGGCGGATTATTCCAAAAGCTTCATAAACTGCTAGTTCCTTATTAATATCCTGATTAAGATAAAGTATGTCGAATGAAAAAGGGATTATTAAAAAATAGTATTTCCCATAAAAAAATTATATTGATCAATACACTTTTCAATAAGTTATAGCATTATAATGTTAAAAATGTAAAAAATAAAATTGAGAATTTTCACACAATAATAGCATTTGGTAGCCATTTTCACCGTGAAGACAAAATAAAGTCCGAAATTTTTTTTTTACATAATAAAGTAGATTACATTAGCTTTAATTTAATATATATATAAAAGTGTCAGACTTTCCGGAACACTTTCAAAATTTAAGTTGAAAAAGTCAATTTTTTGTGAAAAAGTTGTCATTTTAAATACCCCCTTGTGGGCAGGTTAAGGGTTAAATTTATAAAAAAAATATACCAAATGAAAGGTAATGATATTATGTATCTATATAAAAAAGAATTATATTGATATGTTTATTTTTGAAAAAGTTATGGCACTTTTAAGTAAAAAAAATTGAAAAAATTTCGAAAATTAGCGATTTTTAAATTTGTAATTTTTTTGGAGGTTTCCCCCATTTACGGGGAACGAGGGAATTTTTTTCAATTTTTAAGGGTAATGTCTTCGACTAGATACGATTTTTGATCTTTTGACGTATCATTGAAAGAAATCGGTTCGGTGAGAGCTGAGAAAAAGTGGTAACAGACAAAAAAAAAAAAAAAAACACATCTTAGTAAAACCAATACCTTCTCAGCTTCGCATCGAAGCTAAAAAACGCTTTAATGCAAATCTTTAGATAGTGTTTAATTTTAAAAAGTTGGTGGATTATTCCAAAAGCTACATGATCTGTTATTTCCTTATTAATATCCTGTTTAAGATAAAGTATGTCGAATGAAAAAAGCATATAAATATTATTTCTCTTAAAAAAATTGTGTTGATTCATACACTTTTTAATAAGTTATAGCATTATAAAGAAAAAAAAAAATTTGTTTTCAAATTATTACTGATTTTGATTTTTATTATATTAAAAATAATCAGTTCAAAATTTCATTTTGAAGCTATTTTTTTGGTCCTTTAAAAAAAATTAAATATGTTGCTATAACTTTTAGCTCAATTACAGGTTTGAAATTGACATAATTAAACAGAAAATTTTTATGAGAATTAAAAAAATGGTATTTTTAAGATTAATATGCAGTCAGGAAATTATATAATTACTATTTACAGTATACTTATCAGAAAATTATTTTTTTGAATTTTTATCGTAATTGAACACTTAAATAGAAATCATAGTAATCATTTCTAAGTAACTTTTGGTATGTAAAAAGATTCTACAATTGAAATATCTAGAACTGAATTAATTTTAATGATTTACTTTAACTAAAAAAAAAAAAGTTGTCATTTTGAATCCCTCTTGTGGGCAGGTAGAGTCAAATTTATATATAAAAAAATTGTACACCACCTTATATATATAATATTTCTTATTTTACTTAAATATAATCCATAGAAAACTTATTAATTAAAAAAAACGGTAGCCATAGTGGGGTCGAGGCACAGTGTAGACAAGGCATAGATGGGACAAGTATAGATGATATTTGACAGTGATTAAAATCACTATCATAAGAAACGTTTCGATGCAAATCTGTAGATAGTGTTTCATTTAGAGAAATTGGTGGATTATTCCAAAAGCAACATCAACTCTTATTTCTTTGATTATATCCTAATTAGTAGTTCTTTGATTTTAAAATATAATATATGAATAAATACTAATTATAATTATTAAATTTAGTATGAAATTGATATTCAATAATTTAATATTGTAATTTAAACGGAGAAATTATAAAAATAATAAAGAAGTTGTATTTTGCTTTATTTTTACGTGTATAAAATTTTAAAAGGCTTGATACAATAAAATTCAATAAAAACTGTTTGTTACTATAAATAAATGCACTGAACTACAAGGAACTTTCATCAGTAACAAAAATATACCATTCTAAATCAACTTTTCGCGATGTTTTCAAATCTGCAATTAGACTTTTTCTATCAATTCTAAGTTTTAATATTATCATAAATTAGTATTTACATATAAAATATTCGCATCGAACGATAAAATTGGCTATTTAAGCTAACTCAAATTTAAAAATTACTTTTTCGACTTTAAAAAAGTAAAAAAAATTTAATAAGTTTAATTTCTTATGTCTTATGAACTTTATTCTATGTCAATTAAATTATATAATATTCATGAAAGTCAATATATTCTTCTAATAAGATATTTTAAAATAAAATACAAAACTTAGAATTTTAATAGAAAAATAGCATATTTTTGAATACGGTAGCCATTTGAGCATAGAAGATAGGTCGTCGAGACAAATTTTTTTTTTTAATTTTATAGTACATAAAATAAGCTTTAATTTGATATATGTTTAAAGGACGCAGTATTTCCGGAACATTTTCAAAAATTAAGTTAAAAAGTTAGTTTTTGTAAAAAAGTTGCTATTTTAAATCCCCCCCAATGAGCAGGTTAAGTGTTAGATTTTCAAAAAAATGATATCAAATGAAAGGGAAATATCTAAGGTTTTAGTATAAAAAAAAATTATGTTGATTTGTTTATTTTTGAAAAAGTTATGGGAGTTTTAAGAAAAAAAAGTGAAAAATATGACAGAATTATCCGATTTTTAAATTTGTAATTTTTTTGAATAATTCCCCCATTTGCATGGAACGAGGAAAAATTTTTCAATTTTTAAGGGTAATGTTTCCAACTAGATACAATTTGTGATCTTTTGACGTATTATTGAAAGAAATCGGTCCAGTGAGAGCTGAGAAAAAGTGGCAACAGACATAAAAAAAAAACACATTATGGTAAAATTAATACCTTCTTAGCTTCGCATCGAAGCTAAAAAAAACTAAATGATAGGTTAAGACATGCATCTATATAAAAAAAAATTATACTGATTTAGTCAATTTTGATAAAGTTATAACAGTTAACAAAGTTAACACACAATAAAAATTAACAGAAATTATAAAAATAATAAAGTAGTTGTATATTGCTTGGCTTATATGTGTAGAAAAATTTAAAGGGATTGATGCAATACTTTTTAATAAAAAATTTTTGTTACTTATGAATAAATACACTGGACTACAAGGAACTTACATCAGTAACAAAAATATCTTTTTTCTTTTGATAAAAATTTATCAGAGTAGCTCAATATTTTTTTGCATTTATATCGTAATAGATAACTTAAATAAAAGTAATAGTAATCATTTCCTAGTAACTTTTGGTGTTTAAAAACATTCTACAATTGAAATATGAACTAAATTAATTTTAATGATTTACTTTAACTAAAATAATCAATAAAAAAAAAAAAAACACATCATAGAAAAATGAATACCTTCTCAGCTTCGCATCAAAGCTAAAAAAGTGGTTAAGAAGATCTACTCAATAGCGTATTATAAAATTTGATTATAATTGTAAAAATTCATTGTTAATTCAGGAGAAACTAACAAACATTTTTTTTAGAAATAATTTATATAGCAACATGTTACCAAACATTTGGAATATTATAGTCTAGTAGAGCATACACAAATAGAGTAAAAACTAATTAAACTACAAAGTAAACATTAAAAACGAATGTTTTTAATTGTCTGTATGGAGAACATGGGACAAGTAACTGTTTAATTGATAAATTAGAATTTTTTTTCAATTTTTGAGGGTTATATCTTCAACTAATTGTAATAATTTGACGTATCGTTGAAAAATGTAGGTTAAAAATAAGCAGAGAAAATAAATGATAGTCACAAAAAAATACCTTCTCAGCTTTGTATCGAAGCTAAAACCTAAAATATAGTAAAATAATTTTAGTATGAATAAGAAATTTCTTCTTGCAAGGGGCGACTACAGTGATAGGATCCTTGATCTTTATTGGAGTTATTGAATCTAAATGAGATAAAAATCAAACGAGTTGAAATTTTATTCTAATTTAAAAAGCATCAAGAAAGAAATCCAAAAAATTCCTTGCCATACGCGGGTTAAAACCTTGTACCCCAAGCGCGTAAGACACAAGTTTTACCGACTCGGCACTATACGTTGCTACCAATAATTGAAAAAAAATGGCAATTTAAGCTAGTTCAAATTTCAAAGTTATTTTTCTCAACTTAAAAAAAGCAAACAAAATTAAATAAGTTTAGCTTTCTATGCTATATCAATTTGATTTATATAATATTTATAAAAATCAGTGTACTCCCCTTGTCAGGTATTTTAAATTAAAATAAAATACAAAATCCAGAATTTTACACACAAAAATAGCATATTTTTGAATATGGTAATCATTTTCACCACGAAGACAAATCCAGAGATCAATTTTTTTTTTTTAATTAAAGTACATTACATAAGCTTTAATTTAAGATATATATAAAAGTGTCAGTATTTCTGGAACACTTTCAAAAATTAAATTGAAAATGTCCCAGTTTCAATACGCATGTTTTAAGTTTTGACCCCCCTTGTATAAAGGAGTATGATCAGATTTACAAAAAAGTGTCTCAGATGAAAGGGGTATATAAAAATTATTTATAAAAAAATAATAATATTGATCCATACATTTTTCCAAAGGTTATAGCAATATAAATTTAAAAATATAAAATCGAGAATTTTTTCACAAAAATAGTATGTTTTTCTTTAACTTTGATGTCCGCTTTCACTATGAAGACAAATCCAGAGGTCAAATTATTTTTTTTTTTCAAAATAAAGAATATTACATAAGTTTTAATTTAAGGTATGTATAAAAGTGTCAGTATTTCTGGAACACTTTCAAAAGTTAATTTTTTGTAAAAAAGTTACCATTTTGAAATCCTTCCTGTGGGCTGGTAAAGGGTCAAATGTTCACAAAAGTATATAAAATGATAAGTAAATACCTCAGGTATTTATATATATATATATAAAAAAATTATATTGATTCGGTCATTTTTAAAAAAGTTATGGCAATTTTAGGTAAAAAAAATTTGAAAATATGTCGAAAATTTGCAATTTTTAAATTTGTAATTTTTGGGGGGATTTTCCTCGTTTACATGGAACGAGGGAATTTTTTTCAGTTTTTGAGGTTAATGTATTCGACTAGATACAATTTGGGATTTTTTGACGTATTGTTCATCAAAAACGGGCAGCAAGAGCTGAGATTGAGCGTTCACAGACACAAAAAAAAATTAAAAAAAAAAAAAAAACATATCATAGTAAAATTAATACCTTTTCAGCTTCGTATCGAAGCTAAATATAGAATTACTTTCTTGGAGGGGTAGTAAAAAATGTCTTTAGGTATATCTTCAAGACAAAATATTGAGAAAACTTCTATTAGATGTTAATATTGTTAACAAATTTTTTTACCTTCCAGGCCGTATTAAAGCAGAATCTATGAGATCAGGTCTATTTGTTGCACCCAACACAAATATCTCTTGATTTTCTGAATTAACTCCATCCATTTCAGTTAACAATTGTGATACAACTCTGCAAATAATAATGCTCATTAAATGAAATATATAAAAAAAGTTACATAATTATACCTATCTCCAACTCCACCAGAATCACCATTTTGTCCTCGTTTAGGCGCTACTGAATCAAGCTCATCAAAAAAAAGAATACAAGGAACAGCTGAACGTGCTTTGTTAAATACTAAAATAAATTATACATTTATATTAATAGAGTTTATTATTTTATTATTATTATTTGTAATCAAATTTAACGTCCTTTAAAAGCTATTGTTTGGTTCAGAGGATACATAGGTCAGTGCAAAAAAATCAAACCCTGGTATATACACTACAAGGAACAATCAATTTTTACCATGTAAACACCTAATTTCAAAAATCTTTCTCAACCATTCAAGTAAAACCTAAAATTAGGTTTTCCAACAATTTTTTAAAATTTTATTTGCTTAATTTAATATCTCATTAATGACTAGATGAACTTGTAGTTCATAAATTACTATATAAATATATTATAAAGTTAAACTATATTTAGAAAATAATGTAATATCTGAGATGTATGAAAAATAAAGAAGTAGATGAAAAGTACATCACAGTATAATTAAAATACTATTCATGAACGATTGAATATTACAAAAAAATTTTTTTTGAAGCATTTATAGAACAAAATAATTAAGTATAATTCACAGTTAAAATAATTTGATATCAAAATAGTCATGTTTTTCTTGAAACTATAATGCTTGTTAATGAATGACAAACATTTTTTGATCCTTAACAATAATTTTTGTAAAAAATGTGTGACTTGGTACTCTTATTAAACATTTTTTTTTGAAAATCTAAACACAATAAGTATTTACCCAATGTTATCCTTCCTTTGTCTACTATAATATATCTTATTTTATTATAATAATATTAATAATCGTAATAATATAATATATTTATTTACATTTATTATATTATTTCAGCATATTAAGTTGTAAATTGGCTAATTTGAAATCATTGTAAAAATAAAAAATATAACATTTCATATTCTAACAATCTTTAAGAATATACTTTTTTGTATAGCAATAAAATTTTGGAAAAAAATGTGAATAAAACAAGCTGAGTTTATTCATGGAAAATTTTATCACAAGGAATAGAAACGGGTACTTTGAAATTGTGCGATTGGCTGAGGCTAAAAATTATGTAGTGTAGATATAATTTTTTTTCATTTTAACTATTATTAGGTAAAAAAAAAATGTCATTACTCTATCAGAAAATTTACCTTCTCTTACATTTGCTTCACTTTGTCCAATGTACATATTCAATAGCTCTGGACCTTTTATTGATAAAAAGTTATAATTACATTCAGTAGCAACAGCTTTTGCTAGTAATGTTTTCCCAGTTCCAGGTGGTCCATAGAGTAATAAACCTAAAAACAACAAAAATTAATTATCAATGATATAAATCAGCAGTACTCTAACTTTATTTATGATGGTATATACTTTTTTTAATGAATTTAATCACATTATCTTGCTGTATAGGTGTATTTAAAGTCAATTTACCCACTCTATTTTACTTTGTATTAAGGTATACATAGGTACTAAAATAAATTTATAATAAGCCAACCCCAACGAAAAGGTCTAAATATGTAAATAAAGATGTTATTATTAGATGAAACATTAATTTAAAATAGTTAAGTATAATTGGGATATTATAGTGCAGTGAAGTTGAAGCAGTTCGTTTATTAGTATTGTTTGATATTTGCCATAGATTTAAATCACTGTTGTAAAATTCTTTGATGCAAATTTGAAACAAATTTAAAAAAATGTTAACATATTCATTAAAAATTACATGACTTTTAACTTTAGAGACCAATTATTAATTGATTTTAAGTCTTTCTTTTTATCATATAATTAACTAATTAATTAATTGTATCATATAATTATAAAACAGATAGATTTAATTAAATTTAGTTTTGAATAATGTTCCAATTGCTATGTAAAAATCTTCAAAATTGGGCATTTTTATACAAATTTAAATGATTTTATCTGATAACTTCTAGAAATCAATCTTTGGATAGTTTTTCTATTATTATCTTATAGTAAATTGTATGATCTAAAATTTGAAGTAGGCTTAGTGAAATTAAGTTTTTTAGAAGGTTATAAAAATTTGAAAAGAAAATATTTTAATAATGTTTGAATGAACCCATACTTTGATTAATGTCTTCCATTTTGATTTTCCAGAAAAGTATGATATCAGCAAGGTACATATTAAAATATCTAAAATGTTTGACAATAGAAATTTTGAAATTATCTGTCCAGTTCACAAAAAATTATTTCAATATAAAGTATAAAAAAAATATCAAATTCTCACAAATAGTCAAAAGTATGAACATTAGAGAGAAGCAAATAGGATACCTCACCACCTCTCCCAATCTCTGAAACAAGACCTCAACTATGTACAAAAGATGACAAAATTCCTCAACGCACCGAATTGTTTAATTTAATATAATATTTGTATAACTTATGTACTAGTGACCAATTTCTATTCACTCTTATTGCTACCCTTATCTAATTAATTTATTGTAATATACACTTGATATGCATATAATCACAGCCAATAGCTTTTGTTGCTGCGGCTTTTACTTAAAAAAAAAAAAATATCAACATCAACTGTTTTATAACAATTGTAATATTTTAGATGTTTTTATCTTAATCATGAAGATTAAGGGTAATTTTTCTAAACCATGATACTCTTAACTTGAAAAACTAGATACAATTTATGTTTATTGACATATTATTGAGCAAAACTGGTCCAGTAAGAGTTAATCAATTTAGTCTACTGACACAAAAAAATACAACAGAGTAAAACTAATATTAAATTGAAATTAATTTTTAACCCCTTGTAATTTGGAAATCATTAATTTAAACTAACAATAAATACCAGATCTCTTTATATTATAAGTTGTAGGTTTTAAAGCCATTAAAATTTCTTCTTTAACATATTGTAAGCCACCAATATCATCCCAATTAACAGTTTGTACTGATGGTGATCCTATTGATTTAGAAAATTTGGTATTTATTTCATCTAAACAGAAAATTAAAAATCATATAAAATGTATCAATATATAATTATATAGTATTATACTTCAATAAATATATAAAATAATTCTATAAAACATTGGTCATACCATTTACATATATATTATCAATGTTTGACAGAATTTTTCTAGGAGTCCATAGATAAACTTTTATTAATATTTCTAAAATTCCCCCGAGGATCAATATATCTTTTCATTACACATAGTGTTGAATAAATTAAACAAGTTGGTTTAAAAATAAACGAATAACTAAATTAGTTAATATTATGCATACATTATTTTAATAGAAAGGATAATATTATGACCATTTCAATCTACATTGAGAAATGTCTTCTGAGATATTGTATTTAATTAATGTTTTTATATTTTTGAAATAATTAGAAAAAACTGAACTTACTAATTGCAAACATAATATCAAATTCAGATAAATTTATTTGATAAGTTCTGTCAGAATTTATACTTGTATTATGCCTGAAAAAAAAAATTAAAATTAAACTAAATAAAAATTAAAATGACAGTGAGAAACCAACTTTGTAGCTATTAAAATCATATTTAGGTAATTTGAATAATTGTATCCAGATGTAAGTTCTATGATCTTATTAAATAGACACGTTTCAATGTCAATAGATTCATTCTTCAGCATCCATTTTAATAATTTTTCTCGAGAAATTTTGTTTAAATTTTTTATTTCTAGAACTTGCAGGAAAAGCCTCAAAAAACTAGGACTTAATTTTTCTTTTAAATTTGTAGTGCCTATTATAATGATTGGTTTGGTAGTTTTAATTTGCATTTGTTTTTCTAAAATGTTATTCAACTCTTGTTCTAAATCTTTTGTTGAAGATAAACACAGAGCCTAAAATAGTAAAATAACATATTTCTATAATATAAAACACAAATTAAAATATAAGGTTTGTTTCCAAAAATAATTATTTTTCAATAATATAACCTTTTTCTTCTAGTTGATAATCAGAAAATAAAAAGTTATACAAACTGAAGATAGTGACAGACATTTATGTTACTCCTTAATTTTTTTTAAATTATCAATATTTTAAAATTAAACAACTCAAATTTTCAAGAATGGTATACCTCAACAAGTTACATATAGCAGGTCATAGTAATATAATATTTAATTGTATTTAAACTTTAATTATTAAAGTTTGATCTCAGCACAACATAAATAAAATGAACATTCAATTTAGAATGTAGACTCATTATACTTAGCACATAAATATTTTATGTTTTTTTTATGTATATTTATTTAAGCCACACTTTTTTATATAAAGTACTCAATTATACGCTTAACATTTTATATTTAACATTATAAAATTTTTTTTTTTATTAGTACAGTATTCTACATGTACTGTATTAAATTATAGAAATAGTTTATGAATATATTTACTTCAACATTTTCTAAATGTAAAAGACAGGGTGAATGTTTCCTAATTTTTTCAAAAAAATATTCTATTTTTTTTTTTAACTGAGCAATATTGTTTGTTGGCCATTCAAAACAACATTGAGAAATATATTTCAGACCAATAAATTGAGCTAATGATTTGATAAGAATATTTTTACCATCGCCATTATTCCCAAAGACTAAAAACAGTGGTTTCAGTGACTGAAGATCTGAAATATTCATTAAAATAATTAATTATGTAAAATTAATCATATTTTTAAGATATACAGAATGTCACAGAAAACAATTATAATTGTATTCTTTTTAATTCAGGTTTAAAAATAGGACACCAAGCTGGAAAACAGGAAAATCCTTTAAAAATACAGTACCCCTACATTAAAAGTAGTCATGTACTAGCCAAATCAAACGAACCTTTGAAAGTTCTTCAGTTTCAAAATGGAATTTAATAAAATCTAAAATTTTTTCTTGTAAATCAGTTTGAGAATCAAATTAATAAAACTAAATATCATATTGAATAATGTTAAAAAATGTTTTTGTATGAAAATAATTAAAATTGATGTTCGTTTCAAAATTGAGTTTGACTTTAAAACTGAAAGTTCAGTTCAAATCCAAAAATAAAGGTTCTTAACTGTTAAAAGTATATTTTTTATTATTTTTCATTAATAAAACAATTTTATTTTTTAAAATTTCAAAATAACAATTCATGTTTTTAAATACCTAGGGATGTATAAAAAAGATTAGGATAAATCTTTTTTTATATTTAGAGCCAATTTAATCAAATTCAATGTAAAATTGAATATTATTAAAATTTAAAAATAATTCAAACACTTTTTTATGAATGATAAATATTTTAGCTTTGTCATGAACAGTTGCATGCAAAATTCGTTTATTTTAGTAAATTATTTAGAATTATAAGAATAATTAATTATAATGTTCACTTGCCGACAAGCGTATTGCTAATAAATGGCTGAATCCAAGATTTTATCACCTCACCATAATCTTGCAATCCATCAGGAATTATATTTATTAAATAATCATTATAATTATTAATTTTCATATTGTTAGAGTTATTTGTTAAATAATAAAATTGTGAGGGTAAATACATGTTATTTAAACATTGAACCTCAATTAATTTAGTTTGTTTATTTGTTATATAAGCACTTTTTTTAAAGTTATATAAGGTTTCATTGGTACATTTACCTTTTAAATTTAAAATTTTTATGTAAAAACTATGAGTCATTGAAGGATTTATTAGATATTTATTTTCTGGATACCACTTATTTAAATCTATATGAAGCACATCTCCAACAGAAACGAATATGGGGAAAGTAAAGTAATTAAAAAATGCTTTGTCTATCAATTTTTGCATACTATTATTAAAATTAAATGGCTTAGAAACAATTATTGAAGCTTCTTGTGATATTTTAGGTTCATTTTCAACCAAAGGTTTAATTAATCTTAGTTTAAATACATTACAAGATGGATCACAGTTTTTTAAATTAAAAAGATTTGTTGAAGTAAGAATGCAATTTCTTTCTTTCAAATCTTTTAACACTATAACTCTATTATAATGTAATATAGGAAGTTTATAAGATTTGTTAAAACATACATTCATGAACACCCATTGAAAATTAGTTAATTTTAATTCATCTAACATGTGTTGACTAATAAAAATACATTTATGTATATGTAATGGGTACTTCATTATTATTTTTAAATTATAACTATTGTTTAAAAGTTTTTCAAGTATTTTTTCAGGAACACATTTAAATGGAACTTCAAGCCCAAATAATACTCGTAACTTTAGATCATACAGTAATCTTCTAATAATTTTTTTTACTTGATTTGTATTTTGGCACAATTTTAAAATATACAAAGTAATTACAATGTATTTTAAAAATGATTTCTTAAGACAATCCATTTTCAACTTTTACCTAAAATAAGGATACATGTAATTTTTTTACAAAACAAAAATTATTTTAACACATTAAACTTACTAATATGTAATATAATATAGTTCAATTATTGTAATTTTTCACATTTCATTTAAAGTGACTGATTCTAATTAGCTTAATTTCTATAGAATGTCAGTTATTATTTATGTTTCGTTTTAGAGTTGTTATGAAATATGGGGCGACATTTGATAATACTTTATTGATAAGAATGTATATAATATACGATATGTGGGAAATTTATGTAAACTATTATTTTAGTATAGTGTCACAGACTATATAAAACTATTTTCATTTAGTCTGTGATAGTGTGATCACAGTTCGTGGGTGTAGGTCAATTTTAATAATTTTTCAGGAGTCATTTAATGTATCTTAATTTGATTACTATTATAAATGAAAGTGTATTGATATGATTTCAATTTAATCATTATCGTTGATATTTAAGAATAGTTTAACTTTTAGATAATTATTATCAAATCAGTCATTTTATCCAAAAATTGATATGCACCAATTTCGCTTTATTCCCAAAATTCATACATTATATATTGGTTTATTACAACATCAGATTTTATCAATATTATGTTTGGAGGACCATGGGTAATTGCCTTGCTCGTATCGCCTTTCCACTATCCTCATGTATAATTCTATAGATTTTGTATTTTTACAAATAAATTAACACAAAATTGTTACAAAGAAAACAAGTTGATTTTTTGTGAAAAAGATATAATTTTTCAAATGATACATTCTATAAACGTTTCCGCAATTATGTTCCACAAACAATATTTCTCCAAATACATAATAAAATACAAATTTTTATACAAAAGCTTTTAAGTGTCTAATATCTTGATGTAAACATTAATAAAAAGTTATATCCCAATTTCTTACTATTATATAATGATATAATTATCAACCTGAAGTTACTTTATTTGTTTAACGGTTTTGTATAAATTAAGTCTTAACAGTTTATCTTCTATATCCTTTAATTTACTAAAAGAAATGTCAAAATACGTAATATTTCGTGAAATTGGTATATTTACGAATATTTCATCATATTTGACGAACCATATATGATACGACCTAATGTTTCATACGAAAATTGTTTAAAATTAAATTTTACGAAATAAAAGTAACAACTGAAAATTCTTTTGAACCGATCATTTTATTGCTATAACTGAAATATCTCGATCATATTTTGATTTTTACTCTACTTCTTCTTCTTTCTCGTCTAAATCCCAACTACTTGGGGTCGGCCACCCTTATCCTTAACTTCTACTTGACTCAATCACCCACGTCATTTACGTTCACATCGCCGTCCTCATATCACATTCACTGATATCCCTCCATCTTTTTATGGTCTTCCTCTACCTCTTGTTCCTTCAAAATTCATTTCTATAACTGTTATTACAGCTTCAGATTCCTCTCTCCTTATAACATGACCAAAGCTATTTTCTCTCATCTTTTCTACGATTGACGTTTCACCTATACTCCCTTTTATATGTTCATCCCTTATTCTATCTTTTCTAGTCACACCACTCATCCATCTAAGCATTCTCATCTCTACTACGCTCATTCTCTACTCTACTTTCTTGTCAACTGCCTAACAACTCTTATGATCGAGATATTTCAGCTATAGCAATAAAACGATGGGTTGAAAAGAATTTTTACTTAGTACTTTTATTTCGTAAAATTTAATTTTAAACAATTTTCGTATGAAACATTAAGTTGTATCATATATGGTTTGTCAAATATGATGAAATATTCGTAAATATGCCAATTTTACGAAATATTACGTATTTTGACATTTTTTTTAGAAAACTAATGGATAAAGAAGATAAACTGATAAGACTTAATTTATACAAAACAATTAGATGTACACTTTGAAATTACTAGAGAAATACAAGGAGAGGTGCCATGGTGCATGTTGTTTGTATAGGAGAAAATTAATCAAAGGCTAGAGGTTTGGAGATCAGCTTTTGAAGAAAAGGGTTCAAGAATAAGTAGAAGTAAGACAGAGTATATAGAGTATGAGTTTGACAAAGATGAACACGAGGTAGATAAAATGAGGAGGTCATTGATAATAGGTGAGAACGTGATTGGAAAGGTGGAGAGTTTTAAGTATTTAGGGTCAGTTGTGCAAAAGAGTACTGGTATTGACGAGGATGTAAGACAGAGAATTATGTGCGGGTGGTTGAAGTGGAGAGTCTTATGCGATAAAATAATTACAATGAGGCTGAAAGGTAAATTCTACAAGACTGTAATAAAGCCAGCTATGATGTATGGTTCAGAGTGTTGGGCGGTTGATAAGAAAGTAGAGCAGAGAATGAGTGTAGCAGAGATGAGAATGCTTAGATGGATGAGTGAAGTGACTAGAAAAGATAGAATAAGGAATGAGCATATAAGAGGAAGTATAGGTGTAGCGTCAATCGTAGATAAGATGAGAAAAAATAGATTTAGATGGTTATGACGAGAGAGGAATAAGAAGCTATAAGAACAGTTATGGAAATGAATGTTGAAGGAAGAAGAGGTGGAGAAAGACAATAAAGAGATGGAGGGATGTCATTGAATGTGATATGAGGACGGCGATGTGTACGTAAATGATCTGGGAGATCGTGTCAAGTGGAAGTTTAGGATTAGGGTGGTCGATCTAAGTAGTTGGGATAAAGATGAGGAAGAAGAATTAGATCTACAGTTTAATTTCAGTATTTTTTTTTCTTGGGTTGCGCTTTGATTGATTGCTCTGCCAGTCCTACCATTTACTACTGTAAACAATTAGGTATTAGACATTTAATGGGAGCACCATTCCATCCTGCATCAAATGGTTGCGCTGAATAAGGTGTCAAAATCGTTAAACAATTCTTAAAAAAATGCTCGTTCTCTTTAAACTAGTTAAACAAATTTTTGCTGATGCATAGAAACACACCGCACACGAGACGCCAGCTAAGTTAATGTTAGGGCATTCTACTAGAACAATATTTGATTTGCTAATACCCAGCACTAATGAAGTAGTAGTAGACAGTCAAATTTCTCAAATAAAATATGGGGGGAATAGAAACATAAAAGTGACAAAACACACAAAGTTACATTAGATCAAGGTGCCACGTGGACAAGACACGACGACCAAATTTGGCCATTAAACAAAACAAGCGGTTCGTTATCCCCCGTAGGTGAAAATACTGACATAGACAACAATGACCACACAGAATCAACCGTACCGCTCTGCAATAAATCTCCCCGACCTGTTAGAGTTAAAAAACCTATTTAGCGTTTCTCTCCATCCGACTAAAAATGACAACAAATAATTTTACACTATGTAAAAATCTCTGTCTATATGAATGAATATCTATCTGTTATAAACAGTAAACTAAAAACTAAATCTTACTCTCTCATCAAATTTCAATATTTATTTATATGTTAATAAATATTTAAAATATAAGTGTATTATAATTTTATAAGGAAAGAGGTTTTGATTGATTGCTCTGCCAGTCCTACCATTGGTTCTGTATAATATAGGTGTTCTCTGCTCCTTTATAGCTAGAAAGTCAGCTTTTTCATTTCAAGTGACACCGTTTTTTCTTGGTATCTACGCTAGTATAACTTTTTTAAATCTCAATATTGATTCTAAAGTTTCCCTACATTAAAGGACAAGCTTTGAATTCACCTGATTGTTATAGAGTGCTTTCAGAACCACAAGACTATCACTTGAGATAGTTATGGTCAAGAGGTAACAACAAAACATAAAATTAAAGAAAGTGGTTTAAATTATAAATTATGATTAATTTTTAAGAACAATTTTTTTTAGCATTTTTAGCATACCAACTCAAATAGATCATATTTTGACGATTGTTACGTATTGATAAATATTATATAAATTAGTAGTGGGGATTGTCCACTACTCTCGAGTGCGATCAATGACACACAACCATTAACAATTATATTGTTTCTCAATAAAGACTTATTTTCTGTTTAACTATTTGATGTTGTCTTTCATATAAACAACACAACAACGATCTTTTTATTTTTTTTATTATTTATTACACATTTTTCTAAAAAGTGCAAAACTTGAACATTATTTCAAAGTTTTATTTAAGCAAACATAAATCAAAATAATATTGCAAAAGTTAAATAACAGTAAAAAAAAAAAAAATTATTTAGTAAAAATGTGTCATTTTTTAATTTTCCTTTTTTTTTCCGGAGGTTGAACAAATTTATATACTTTTTTATTGTCAGGTTTATTCAATTTATTGAATTTACCCAAACCACCACCACCATGTCGTTTTCTTGGTCTTATAGCTTTGGCATTAAGTTCAACTGCAGGGGGAGTTGAAAAACCAAATGATTTAGCAACTTTAACAATATCTAATGTTCCAACATCAAATATTTGTTTTAGATGATGAGAATCATAAGCACGGACATATGATTTAAATGCTTCTTTAGCAGATATATGTAAAAAATAATTTTTTGCTACTAGTTTTTCAAGTTGTAGTTGAATATCGGAAATCTTATTCCATGAAAACTCAAATTCATTCAAAGGAACTTTTGCTTTTTTTAAGTATTGTAAAAATCCTAATTCTTCAGGTCGTAGTATAAGAAGTGCATGACCACTACTACCTTCACCTCGAGCGGTACGGCCAACACGATGAATATATTCCTATAAAAAATGTATAAAATAATAATCCCTTTTTTGAAAAGTTATTAATTCAACTACATACTTTTGGGTCATCAGGTGGATCATATTGGACAATCCAGTCAACTAAAGGAATATCTAAGCCTCGAGCAGCTACATCTGTGCAAAGAAGTATACCTGTTTCAGTATTGCAATATTGAAAAAAAGTAGTTGTGCGTTTCTCTTGTTTCTGTTTACCCTACATATAAATGAAAAATTTGTCATAATAAATTTTTAACAATAGTTGAAAAAATGTTAAAAAATTTTTTTTTTTTTTTTTTTTTATAAAATATACTTTTTGGGTCTCAATATTTATTTTTTATTTACTAAATTGCAATTTCCCTGCGGATAGGGAATAAGAATACTTCCACAGCCCCTCTGCCAGTCGTAAAAGGCGACTAATAAGGTTATATCAGATTGACAGCCAGCGTAAAAATCTTTGTCAAAAAAGAATGAGGAATCTTGAACAAAACTTAGGCGGATTGTCCTATCTCAGGGATAACAGAAAGTAGTTAAAAACGGAGAAGGCCTAAGAAATAAAGTGTTTGATATCAGCCAGACTACTTATTCAGTAGCTGTTTCACCAATCATGTGTACAGGTCTACCCAACGCTTGTAGTGTTAGGGACATCTCCACTTAATTCTAGGCTGGACTCGTGTATAAGGAAGAAATATAGATACAAAGTAAGAATAGGTACTTGGAATGTTGGAACATTAACTGGTAGAAGTGGAGAATCAGTAGAAGTATTGAAGAGGAGTAAAGTTAACATTTGTTGTGTGCAGGAAACTAAGTGGAAAGGAGAGAAATCACGGGAAATAGGCGAGGGTTATAAAATAATATACTTAGGTAAGTCTAGTACAAAGAATGGTATAGGGATTATAATGGATGAGGAGATGAAAAGTGAAGTAGTAGAAGTAGCTAGGAAATGTGACAGAATTATGGTTGTAAAATTTATATTCGAAGAAAAAGTGCTGAATGTAATAAGTGCCTATGCGCCACAAGTGGGATGTGATGAAATAGACAAGGAAGTTTTGGAGAGAGATGGATGAGGTGATGCAAGGGGTACCTGGCAATGAAGAGGCGGTGATAGGTGGAGATATGAAAGGACATGTAGGTAATGAGAGGAGAGGATATGAAAGAGTACATGGAGGATATGGTTTTAGTGGGAAGAATGAGAAAGAATACTGGATTTTGCAGTATTGTACGATCTTGTTCTGGTTAATACTTATTGTAGAAAGAGGGAAGAACATTATATAACATATAAGGTGGAAGGAATAGATCACAGTTTGATTATTTTATGTGGAAGAGAGAGAGCGTAAAGCGAGTCAAAGATTGTAAAGTTTTATCAGGCGAGAGTGTAACTACACAACATAGACTGATGGTGATGGAGTTGTGGTGTACCCGAAAGAGAATAAACAAAAATAGAAGAAACAAAGGGGAAAAATCGAAGATCCGATGGTGGAAATTGAAAGAGTTTGTAAAGGCGTAAAAAGAGAGGGCGGTGTGGAATGTCGAGGGAGACATAAATGATGTGTGGAATAGATTTTCTAGTTGTGTAAAGAATACTGCAAAGGAGATTGTTGGTGAGAGTAGGAGTAGAATGCCAGGTAACAAGGAAACCTGGTGGTGGGATGAGGACGTTCGAAAAATCATAGAAAGTAAGAAAAAGCAATTCAAAGTATGGCAGAAGAGCAAAAGGAGAGAAGACTGGATAGAGTATAAACGCTTGTGCAAAGGAGCCAAGTGTGCAGTAAGTAAGGCAAATTTTAAGAGGTATGATAAGCTGCTAGGTACAAATAAAGGTGAAAAATAAGTATATAGACTTGCAAAGATAAGAGAGAAAAGGTCTAAAGATTATCATTATAAAAGGTATATAAAAAGTGTCGATAATAAGGTACTCTCGATTGATGATGATGTGAAAAAAAGGTGGAGAGCATTTTGAAAAATTATTGAATGAGGAGTATCCAAAAGAGACATTAGAGTGATTCTTTTAACTCTAGTTACTTGATTTCTCTTAAAATAATTTTCTTTTTGTAAATTTGCTAGTTAAATGTATAACTCTATTTATCACTTATAAAATGTTTATCCTTTATATCTTATATGGGTATCATCTTTATTTTTTCAAATATCAAGAATAAGGTGACCGTAAGCTACATGGGTAGGTTTTTTTTAATAATATTTAGAAGTGCCACCCCTTAGAATTGTTAATATTAGGCGGTGTTGGCAAGGTGGGGTGAATGCGTTACGACGTCTAGTCTCAAGGTCATAGACGACAGGATACACGAGAATAATAACACGTGACAGGTGGACATTATAAGTGTGTTAATATGGAAGATATTTAAAGCTAAGCACTTTTGAATACATCAATGAATATAAAATTATGTAGTAAAACATTATAAAAACTTATAAGTATAAAATTGATTTTAGAACTTTTACGTTTTTTTAATCAAAACTATCAAATTTATTTAAAACTTTATGAAGATAAAAAAAAATTAAACATAGCTATAACTCTATAAAATTTTTATGTTACCTATGAAAGTTATGAGTAATAAGCCATAGTATATATTAACTTACATGAATACACATGACAGGTAAATCTATATAATTGAGTAATTCATGGAAATATTTAACTGCTAGACACGAACTAAAGAACACCATAACTTTTTTGTTTCTATTTTTTTTTAAAAATGTGAACAACAACAGAAATCGTTTCTCAGAGGGACATACAACATATCCTTGTTCTAAACCTTCAACTGTTGCTTCATCTTTACTATCATCAACACCAACATAAATAGGTTCTTTTTTTAAAGCAAATGTTGTCAATGCATCAGTTTTTGGTGTTTTTGTTGCACTAAATAGCATAGTCTGCCTTCGCTCTATAATAAAACGAACATTTTAAATATACAAATTTTATGTTTGTAAATAGTTGCAATTTGAATTTAAAAAAGTTAATTTGATAGGTTTTCTTCTATTTACTTATGTATTAAGTTAATAATTATTTATAACTTAAGTAGAAAAAAATAGATGTAAGTGATATAATTATTCTAATATTTATGTTGTTTTTCTTATGATCGTATTATCATTAAATATAGATAGAATAGAGTAACAATTTGGCAACTATACAACTGTGCAGGAAATTAGTTTAATAAGGTCTATTACTTAAGTTTCATATGGGTGTCAACTTTTTAATGATAATATATATACAGGACGATTTTTTTTTATCATAACCCACTCAATCACTTACAGAATAAATATAATTTACACATTTACAACTAATTAAAATATAAATAAGAATTTTTGTAAAATTAAGTGTTTATTTTCAAACAAATCAACTATTTTCTTAAAAGTTCGTCAAAGGAACTTGAGTATTTATTCCCTACGACCAAATAAAAATTTAATACAAGTAAACACTAGCCACTCAATTTCTTTTTAAAAAATAATTGTATTACAAAAATTATTTTTGGTACCTATTAGTTTCATTATTTTCTCAATTTATCAATATTACTTACTTTTAATTCATTCCTTATGTCTTAAAAAGGTGACAACTTAATTTTTTTAAACAAAATAACACACATATTTAACTAGCTCATAAAATAGAAAGTAATGTAATTAAGAAAATAATAGGCCAATAACAACTTTTAAACCAGTACTTTTAAAGTTACTAATATTATACATAAGCAAAAGAAGGAATGACCTAAAAATGTCTCATAATAAATATTATAATACCCGTACCTTACCTTCAGTCTATATTTTAAAAGGTAATAAATCTGAAACAATGAGCCAAAGGTTATTATTGACCAGTTCTTAATTAGATTCTTTTTGTTTTATAAACTAGTTAAATATGTATCCTGGCATTAAAAAAAAAATTGACACTCATATAAAGTATAAAAGATGAATGAAAATGTAATTGTACCTGATAAATGAAGAAATTAATGAAACCAAAAATTATTTTTTTACAATACCTATTATTTTAAGAAAAATTGAATGGCTAGCATTAAAAGAATCACCTTATTTAGGAAAAAAATATATATACTTGGGAGCAAATTTATAATTTGTTTTATTTCTTCTTCGAATCCAATATCCAAAATACGATCAGCTTCATCAATAATAAGACATTGAAGATTTTTGTATAAGAAATCTGGGGAATTTTGTAAATGATCTAATAACCGACCCGGTGTAGCAACAACTATATTTATACCTAAATAAAATAAAATTATATTACTCAAAAATTATGACAAGGAGGTTATAATTAACATAATTAAAGGAATAATTAAGAAAACAAAGAACTTACTCGATTTTCAAGAAAATTAACATTTCAAGTATTAAAATCACCAATTAAAAATTTATCAATTTACATTTATTTTGATCCATAATTTAGTTAACTATACTCTCATAATTTACAATAGACTTGTATTAAAGTTGTTATTAAAAATATAAATGCTATTTTTACAAAAATATATTATAATACCTTTAGATAGTTTTGTAACTTCTGTTTGCCTATTAGCACCACCCATCAATAGCCCATAAGTATGATGATGATGTTTCATTAATTCTTTAAGAACTCCATAAGTTTGCATTGAGAGTTCTCTAGTTGGTGAAATTATAATAACACCAGTACCATTTCTTGGCATAAATTTTAGTTTATAAATAAGTTCGACTGCAGGAATTAAAAAGGCTAACGTTTTTCCACTACCTGTTTTGGCAGCACCCACTAAATCTCTACCCTCTAATAATGGAGGAATTGTCTTTGCTTGAATTTCTGTCATGGTTGTAAAACCCATGTCAGTGATACCTTTTAAAGTATTTTCACATACATGACCTTCAAGGCTATTAAAGTTCCGTTCAGAAGCTGTAATTTTCAAACCCAAGTTGGAACCAGGTAAAGCTACAACAGAAAAGAAAAGATAAATTTAACACAACAAGTAACATTTAAAAAAAAAAGTAACTTACACTGATCATCAGCCATTTTATGAAATTAAGTAAAATTTTGAAAGACTTAAAAAGACTTTCTTAAAAAGACTTTTTAAAAGTTTAATACTAACATACCCGTTAGTTGTAAACAAGTAAGAACTATTTTGGAAGTATTACATATTATAATCAAGTTATAGGTTATTAAGTCCACATGACTTTTGGTATGTATCAGTGAATAATTTTTTATATATAAACGCGGTTGAAATTTTACAGCAATATTTTGTTATTATCTATGGTTTTTATCGTCAACTATTATCATTTTTTGTTATCAACATCTATATTCATTTAAAATTATAGTTGTGTTTATTAGAATTTAAATTAAGTAAAAATTACTATAATTTATTACTTAAAACTTACCGTTCTTATTATTTTTCAACAAACGATTGCAAAGATGACACAAGTGATTTTATATCAAATCAAAGTTTTAGCTGTTATTTAACTGTAAAAATTATTATGAATTTTTATGAATAAATAATATTTTTAATTCAATATGTTTCCTACTAAACTTAAAGCTTTGAATGCTTCTACTTCAGACGAAAGTAGCGATGACGAAGAGGCACCAGTTAAGATCACAAAAGAAGCATTAGTTAGTAAAACTTAGTTATAATTACAATTTTTATTAAAATAAATAAATTTTATTTTGATTTAATATTATGCATTCAAATATAAATCTAGATAAATAATTTTGTCTTTCTTCTTTTTTTTTTTGTTTTACAAACCATTTATAAATACTTATAATATTTAAGTTTTTTTTTTTAGTTTTTGGAAATTTAATAATTTTATCTGTTTATTTATAAGTATTTTCAGAATTATCCCTTATGCTTTATAAAAGTTAAAACACCATAATGATAAATGAAAACTCACATTTACAATTTAATAAATGGATTTGAATTGAAAGGGTTTTCTTTATAGTATAAAAAAATTTAATTTGATTTTCAGTTTGTAGCTTAGTTATTTTTATACTATTTCTGAAATCTGATAAATACCAATAATTAATTTTTCTTGTATCTTTTAATAATCAACTTATAGTGAATTTTATATCTTTTTTCACTAATATATAATATTTTTGGTTATTTAACTTTTTTGACTATTTATTTTAGTATATAGGGTGTATATTGGAACTAAGTCCTAAATAAGACAATAATTACCTTCATTTATTCAGGTTATAAAATTAATTACAATAAAATATTATTTTAATAATTGGAAACGAATACATTAGTTGCAGTAATAACATTTTTATTTAGTATAGTTTAATAATTCTTTTTTTAGGAAACTAAGGCTGAACTTCAGTATAGCCAAGCTCTTCAGTTTTTAGCTAGAGATAAATTGGATGAAGCCGAAGATGAATTATTTAAGTTGCTTCAAAGTGAAATTATTAGTTCTGTAAGTTTTTTAAATTTAGTACATATAGAGGGATTCTTTTATCATTATATAATTTAATCAAAAAATAAAAATATTATTGAAACACTCCTATTAATCTTAAACTCTCTGTTGGTAAATTGTCTTATATTATCCTCTTGAAGAAATTTTCATGTCATTCTTATCCCCAAAACTAATACGCCCCTCCTCTTTTTTGACTTATTGCCCTCTCCACATCTCTCTGTAAAGTAGTAAAATACATAATAAAAATTTATTTTGAACTATTTAAAATAGTCTGATCCCTAAAAACCTACTCAGTTTTAGGAGAGGTTTAGGTACTAAGGAATGCCTATTTTCTTTTATGGAACCCATCTATGAGTCCTGTTACAAAACAAATTCATTCTAGCAGTATTTATTGATATCAAAGGTGCTTTTGACTCAGTCCATATTCCTACTCTTTTAAAATGCTTAAACGTCATTAAACTACCTCTTTTTCTTTGTAATTTCATTTCCTCATTATTTTCTCATCCAAATCTTAATATTTCCTTTTCCTCCAACCTTGCTCCCCTTTCTTCCTCCTTTACTTCTGAATGCGTTACTGTTCTTAATGCACTATTCTACATTTAGACCAAACAATGATTCAATGAATACTGTAATAAATATAGTTTAAAAAAACTGAAAAACACGCTTTTAAAGCATATCAAACTAAAAAGTTAAAAATAATTTTTAAACTAAGCTTAAAACAATTATGAACTAAAAATACTAGTATTATTGTGAAAAAAAGAGTGGGGACTTTGTGCTATATTTTTCGTATATTGAGTGCCCGATGCTTTAAAAGCGTGTTTTTTAGTTTTTTTAAACTATATTTATTTTTCACTTTTTAATTTTTTATGACATCGCTGTCACAGTCACATAGTGTTTATTGTCAATTATGATTGTCAATAGATATAATTTCTGTATTGCCAGTTAGTGTGTTTATAAACTCACAACAATGTGTCTTATTACCATTGATAATAAAGGCTATATACTTGCGAATGTCATCATAAAAAACCAATTAGCTACCTGTATTTGTAATCCCTTATGTATTATACATGTATATACAAAAACATTTGAGTTTTTAAATGTTTTTATCTAATAATAAACAATAAAAATTAGTTTATGTATATAATATTGATGTACGCTCGCATGTATGGGTACGAAAACCAAAAATAAAATTTTACAGGAATAGTGTTGTTGGCGTGTGGTGGTGAGTGGGGTGGGGTGGGGTGAATGCGTTACGACAGTCTAGTCTGAAGGCCATAGACGACGGGATACGCAAGAATAATAACAAATGACGTGTGGAGAGTTACTAACATACATATAGGTGAAACTAATATAAGCGTGTTAAAAAAAAAAAGAGAACTAGCCCAGAAACAATGAGAAATGAAAAGAATAATAAAAAGAGTTAAAAGAAAGTGGGAAAAACAACAAATCGAGATGATGAAAGGGTTTTTTAAAGACTATAAAATGTTTTTCAAGAAAGCTAACAAAATAAGAAAATTGTGTAAACCAAAATCGACAATAATGAAAAATCAGAATAACAAATTTATAACAGATAATCAATTCATTGCTGTAGAGTTCAAAAGAGTCTCACAAAAAAAACTGGTCCAACCAGAAAAATTTGGTGCACAATTGAAATTAGTCAGAATGGTGAAAGCATGCATTTTTATTGCATGGATATTTATTCAGAAGAATTCGAGACAAAAGTAGGTTTAAAACAAGGAGATTCCCTGTCACCGACGTTGTTTAACATTGCCCTAGACGAAGTTATTAGGAAGGTTGAAGAAACAGCGAATGGTTTTAGTTTGAATGGAAAAGCACACGCATTACTAGCCTATGCTTATGACGTAGTAACACTTGGATGCAATGAAAAAGATTTAAAAAATTTTATGAAGGAGCTGATTAACCAGAGCGCAGGTCCAAAATATTATCAAAAAAATCAAATACGCGACTATACAAGGTTTTAATGAAACTTGTGATTCTATATACATGTAAAACATGGCCTATGTCAAAAGGACACAAAAGAAAATTGGTAGTCTTAGAGAGAAAATTCTTACGGCGTATTTTTGGTTTTAAAAAAATTATCAAACAAGTGATTATGAAATACAATCCAATAAGGAAATTAAAGACCTATGAGGAGAAGAGAACATTATTCAGACTCTCAAAGGAAAAAAAATGAGCTGGCTTGAACACGTATGTAGATAGAATGAAATAATAAAGGATGCGCTTAACTGGACACCAGAAGGTAAGATACCACTAGGTAGGCCAAAGAAAAAGTGGATAGATGAACCCAATCAGAACTTTCAGTTGATAACCCGAAGGAATTGGCTAATGACAGAGTGGAATGGAGAAGGCTGTGTGTGATCTGCACGAGTAATGATAAAAAAATCTTCAATGATTTTTTTTTTTTTAATTTTATTTGATTAATTATATTTTTTAGATTAATAGTTAACGGTATTTAAATATAAATTAAGATTACAAAAAAAAAAAGTATTTAAAATACATAACTATTCAAACACAATTTTTTTTAAGAATTCTGAATATCATAAAAATTTTAAAAAATATTATAATACTTTCATTAGTATATTTTACAAGACTATGCCTACTACTACTGTTATTCAAATATACACCAAAAAACCTAATTTTTTAATTAGAATTTTATTATATGGTATAGTTAAATATTGTTTAATTTTTTTTCTAGTTAAATACAACACTTAATCAAAAGGATTCTTCTAAATCAGTTTTAACACATTTGAAATATTGTTGTTTGACTAATTTAGGAAATATTTTAGCAAATAAATCTAATTATCAAAAAGCCTTAATATATTATCAAGAGGTAAGTTTTATTTAATTCTTCTTTTTCCACGCCTTAATCCCAACTACTTAGGATCTGCTACCCTTATCCTAAACTTCAACTTGATACAATCTCCCACATTATCTATGCAGACATCAACCGTCCTCATATCACGTTCAATAACATCCCTCCATCTTTTTTTTGGTTTTCCTCTACCTCTTCTTCCTTCAACATTCATTTCCATAACTGTTTTTATAGCTTCTGATTCCTCTCTCTTTATAACCATCTAAATCACTTTTCTTTCAGCTTATCCACAATTGTCACTACACCTATACTTCATATATGTTTGTTCCTTATCTTATCTTCTTTAAACACTTCACTCATCTATTAAAATGTTATTATAATTTATATTTCCATAGGCTTTATTAATGGATAATACAGATTTGAATCTCTGGTATAAAATAGGACTTACACATAGTAAAATGTACCAAACTGATCAAGCTATATCAGCATTTTTAGAGGTAATGTATATGGATTTAATTAACTGAGTGAGAAGTGAAAAGATAATTTCACCTACAAAATCAATAAAAGTTTTTTTTAACAAATTATTTATATCACCTGAAAGTTTTTAAAAACACATTTTAAATTGTTGATTTTTCATTAAGAAAAAGAAAACACTATTTAGAGTGCCTTTGAAATACAAAAAATTATACAATTGATCTCTGATATCTCCTGTTTTCCGAGAGATTTTCCATGCCACATTATCTTATATTTTTCGTATAAAATTATTAAGTGTCTACATTATACACTTAATTTATAACATAAATTATATAACCCACACTTACCTCCCCACAAAAATATGAGCAATTTAATCAGGTATTAAATTAGATACATACTGACCTACTGAGATAACAAGAAAATCCTGGAAATCTCTTTGATATAGCCCCTATGTCTCAAAAAGTTATAATATAAAAAGACATTTATCATTTTTATCGTAAAACAGTGAGACCATAGCATGTTATTTTAGTTAATGTTTTAATATATTGTATAAGTATACTGAACTTTAATTTTACAGGGTTTAAAATGTAATCCACATCATTGGCCAAGTTTAGATAATTTAATTACGTTATTGTTTGCAAGTAATGAGTATATTTGCTGTTTACATTACATAAGTATAACTCTGAATTTAGATCCAGAATATTTGAAAGGACATTTTATTAAAGAGATTATTTATAATAAATTTCCTTCTTTAGTATCATATTTTAAAAGTTATTGTCCTAATGGGTAAGATAAAAATTTCAAGATTATATTTTAGATATTATAAAATTCAAATTTTTTTTACTTAGAGGTTTAGATGTAGAGTGCACAGAAGAAATTGATGAAGATATTAAGCAAAGAATTCTAAAAGAAATAAATAATATAAAAACAAACGATACATGTTTGGGATTAAACAAAATTTCTAGATCTAATGAATGCTCATTGATAATTTATGCAAAAATATCTGATTTTAAAAATTTTTGCAATTTAGGAAAATGGTTATTAAATATTTATAATAATTTATTTGAAAATCATGACCATTTGGTAAACAATTTATTTATTAAAATTATTATGTATTTTCATTAATTTCATTTAGTATTATTAATGATTTATACAATCATTATTAAATTATTTCTAGCTGTTATATCAAGTAATTAAATTCTATGATGAAACTTCAGAACAAATTGATTCAGATAACTACTTAAAGTTAGACATTATGAAGGGGGATAATTTTGATAATCCATTATTTAAACATGAAGGTAAGTAATCAATTATACATGAATACTATAATAGCATTACTGTAAGAATGATAGATTAAGGATAAGATTTATTTTCTCAGCAAATTGAAGTTTTTTTATTTTGTTTATGTGATAAAAATGCCTAACATTATTCTCAAATATACATGTGTATACACATGTCTGCAAATGCTTCCTTATATATCCCTTTTCATTCAGAGAAATAAAAATAAGTCACATATCAGGCAACAGTGGTCAAATAATTTTTTATCAAAAATTGACGTACATAGAGTGCAGTATGATCAAGAGTGTTGCTGTGATGGCAAACCAGTCACCCAACTACCAAAAATTGGGTCTTTTCATCTGCAAACTGTTATGACAATTTTTCAAATCTTCTAGATGAACCTGGTTAACTGTCTGACCTCGTGGAACACTCTGAATGGACAACTCCTCTCATATCAAAAAAAACAAATAAGCATTATCTTAATGTTTGATTATCTTAATCTTAAAACTCACCTGAGAGCTTTTGGGGTGAGGTAAATTCGGAGTCTTCCATTGGCTTGATTGTTGCTTAGTTTTAGGATTGTACATATAGCACCATGATTTATCACTTGTTATGACTTTTGAAAAGTGTGGGCTATTTTGAATGTAATGCATGCTTCTATGTGACTTTATTTTTACTGTGCGGTTAGCATTCAAAAAAATATTGTAGCCCCTCTTCTCAAATCATAATGACACATCTGTATAGGTTGGTACCTAATGAGTCTTCTTACATGGAGCGCCTCTGACTGCCGCTCAATTCCTCAAAGTTTTTGGCCTTTGATTTTGTTAACTATTGCTCCCAGTTGATCTTGTGATTCCTGATTTGCATTTGTTGACATTGCTGTTTCTTTACTAGTTGATGGTTTACTAAGTGCCCTTTTGTTCACATAGGGACTTTTAAATTTGATAATTCTTCTGTATAGTACAGTCAATTCATGCTCTTGTTCCAACAGATTGTCTGTAAGATCCTTGTTTGTCTTAAGTTCGTTGTTTTGTGGTTTTTCTATATTTTTATCTATATAGTTCCTACAAATAGATGAGAAATAAAGGTCCATCACAGCAGAGCTTAATATTATGATAAAGCTGTATACTCTGTGGTGCATCAGGTGCCATAGAGAATTCCAATGATCAGTTTACCTTTTGGTTAACTATCTTGTGACAAGTTAGCAACCCTTTTACATAGTATGGCTGGGTTAGGATAGCCTAACTTATCTAATACTTTGATGGATGAGTGGAGTACTTTTGAAGAAAGAATAAGGAAGAAAAATATAAGGAGCATAGGTGTAGCGACAATCGTGGATAAGATGAAAGAAATTAGATTTAGATGGTTATGAAGAGAGAGGAAACTATAAGAACATTTATGGAAATGAATGTTGAAGGAAGAAGAGGTAGAGGAAGGCCATAAAGAGATGGAGGAAAGACATTGAATGTGATATGAGGATAGCTGATGTGAGCGTAGATGATGTGGGAGATCGTGTCAAATGTAAGTTTAGGATAAGTTTGGCCGACCCCAAGTAGTTGGGATTAAGACGGGGAAAAAGAAGGAAAAGAAGAACATAATCCTACGGGTGAAATACAGTACTGCAAATCCCCCTCCCACACGACATAAGTTTAGTTTTTTTTATCTTGTTTTTGCATAGAGTATTTTAATTGTAATACTAATTCTTATAAGCTTCCTAAGGATACCTATATAGTGGCAGATCCAGGGATAGGACAAAGAAGGTGTGTGTTCCCTTTAAACTATTGTTGTTTGTAACTTAAAAGTTTTTTGAGTAAAAACACAAACTAAAAATGATTTTTAATTTTTAGTTTGATGTGCTTTAAAAGCGTGTTTTTTTTAACTGTATTTATTTTTTACTTTTTAATTTCATATGCTATGAAAGCGTGTTTTTTTTAAACTATATTTTTTCTTCCATTCAAATTATATTTTTTTTACTGATTATTCTTGGAAAATATTTACAGCCATTATGGGCTTTAATTATAAAAATCATTTGTTACCTCCTACGAATTAAAATTTAACTATCAGACATGTATCCTTGGGTATTTTCATAAGCCTTATGTATTTTAAGAAAAAGGAAAGTTACAAACAAACATACAGGTGAAGCTAATAATTTTGATATGTATATCAAATGAAAAAAGTAAACATAAAGTATTTATGAAAAAATAATTGCATTGATCCACACATTTTTTCAAAAGTTTTAGTTATTTAAAGTTTAAAAAAATAAAATCTGAAATTCTAAATTTTAACGCCTAAATTGCATATTTTTTAACTACAGCAACCATTAAAGATAAAGGGTCAGATTTTCAATAAAATTATATCAAATGAAAAAAAAATGTCTAAGATTACAATTTATAAAATAATTATTTTGATTCGTTCATTTTTCAATATGTAATGGCAAGTTTTAGAAAAAAAAGTTTAAAAAATGTTGAAATTTACCGATTTTTAAAATCATAATTTTTTGGGTGGATTTTCATTATTTACTGGAAACGAGTGCAACAATTTTTGAAGGTAATGTTTTCAATTAGAAACGATTTGTGATCTTTTGACATATTGTTCAGAAAAATCTGTCCAGTGAGAGCTGAGAAAAAGTAATGACAGACAAAAAAAAAAAAAAAATAAATAAATAAACACATTATGGTAAAATTAATACCTTCTCAGAATTGTATCGAAGCTAAAATCTATGTCTTATTGTCAGATAAAAAATTTTGTATTCCCTTTGAAATAGTACTAATTCTGTGTGCACTTGCTAATTTTTAAAACAAACACATTCAATAAAATTTATTTTTGCTAAAAGTCTGTTTTAATTGTGCTAGTTAACACAACAAAACGAAGAAAAAGCTCCCCATCTTTAGCAGATCAATTGAAACTTAGTCGAAGATCGGCGCGAAATAAAGCTAATAATAAAGTTAATGAGTCATCACTTGCAAAAACTGTTTGGGATATAATACCAGAACATTTAGGGTAATATTAAGCTCTTATAAACTAATATTCATACTTTCAATTACTCTTGAATGTTTGCAAATTTTCAAATATTTTAGGTTCAATAAAGATGGTAGTGATAAAATGACTCTCACTTCAATAAAATGGTCAGATGACTCAATGGACACAATGGATTTATACAGACTATATGAATTTTCAGATGTGCTTAGTGATGGACAAACTGAAAATTTGCTTAAAAACAATTTATCTGATGAAGAACGTCAAAAGTTTGTATTATACAATTAAAATTAATAAATTTATTAAATAAATAATTTACAGGTTAATAAATAAAGAAGGTTTTTTTGGTACTGATCTTGAGAAAGAAGAAGTAATTTCTTTTTTAAAAATGAATGAAAATAAATCAATTTCTGATTTACTGCAAATCTATTTGACTTTTATTACTTTTAAGTGGAATTATGCATGGCCTTTGGATTTGATAACAATATATATTGATTTATTTAAAAGAGTGTGGTATGATTTATGTTTTTTGATATTATTTCAGTTTATTTTTTTTTACTAACTTATATTTTATAGGATTCATACTGAAACTCAAAATATTATCAGTATTAATAAAACTGACTTATACTTATTGGACAATGAAAAGATTACTAAAGTAAAAAATGATATTATATCTGTACTTACTTATGGAGAACTACTCTGTGATCTTTATTTTCAATTAAGACTTGACCATAAACCTTTGGAAGGAAGGTACAAATAATTTTTAACAATATAATATAAAAATTGAACTTAAAGTATCCTTTACTTTTCTTAATTATTCTTTATTCTACTTTAATTATCATTGTATACTTATTGTTCATTTAATATATAGAGTGATTCCTTTAACTCTAGCTACTTGATTTCTCTTAAAATAATTTTTTTTTTTTAAATTTGCTAGTTAAATTTATAACTCTATTTATTATTTATAAAATGTTTATTATGTTTATCCCTTATACCTTATATGGGCATCATCTTTATTTTTTCAAATAGCAACAATAAGGTGACCGTAAGCTACATGGGTAGGTTTTTTTTAATAATATTTAGAAGTGCCACCCCCTAGAATTGTTCGAACATTGATATTGTATAAAATAAGATTTTATGAGTTTGCTTAGTGGAGATTATTATCATTTTTGATAAATTAAATAAATAATATATAATATATAATATGAAATAATAAATAATAATGTGTGGTGTGGCGTGGTGGTCACACTAGTTATTGACAAAACTCTAGTGTTAAGTCGCGCCTACCGCCGTAGTTGAACGGATGGGTGACCAAGTGTGCGCTTCTATAGTGATGAAAAAGCACCATGTTTCCAGTGCAGAAGGCAACGGGAAATCACTGTACTTAAATTTCACCAGGACATACCAATCCAATTGGTATTAACAAACCTAACGGTTGTAAAAAAAAAAAAAAAAATAAATAAATAATAATACTAATTGATATCTGCTATCAAAAGGAGTATCCAAAAGAGATGTAAGAGGATATCTTGTGGAATGAGGGACAGGGTAGATTTAAACAGTGAGAATGAGGTATGGGAGGCTGTGGCATTAATGAAAAATATAAAACAGTAGGACCAGATGAAGTGCCAGTAGAAGTATGGAAAATATTAGGCGGTCTTGGCATTAGGTGGTTGAAGGAACTTTTAAATAAAATCTTATTAGAAGGGAAAATACAAAAATGAATGGAGGAATAGAATCGTGGTGCCGATATATAAAGGTAAAGGTGACATACAGGAATGTGTAAATTATAGTGGTATAAAGTTTATTAGTCATAGTATGAAAATTTGGGAAAAGGTAATAGAAAAGAAAATAAGAAATGAGACATCGGTACCTAAAAACCAGTTTGGATTTTAGCCTGGTAGGTCAACAATGGAGCCATTATTTTGTGTGAGGCAACTAATAGTAAATTTTAGGGGAAAAAAGGAAAATACTTCTTAGTGTAGCATCCATTTACTAAACTGAATAACTATTATAGTTCCTTTATGATGAAAATTATTAATAGGAAAGTTTAGAGAAAAGAAGAAAAAGCTTTGTATGGTGTTTATAGATTTGGAGAAAGCGCATGACAGAGTATTGAGAGAGGTTTTATAGTGGGCATTAATAAGAAAAGGAGTCCCGAAAAGGTACATTAATAAAATAGAAGATATGTATGATGGCACTTGTACAAAGATAAAAAGTGTGGGAGGAGTAACAGAAGGTTTTTGGGTAAAAGTAGGAGTGCATTAGGGTTCTGCTTTAAGCCCTTACTTATTTTCTATAATGATGGATGATATTACTAGAGAAATACAAGGAGAGGTGCTGTGGTGCATGTTGTTTATGTTAATAGGAGAAAATTAATCAAAGGCTAGAGGTGTGGAGATCAGCTCTTGAAGAAAAGGGTTCAAGAATAAGTAGAGTAAGACAGAGTATATAGAGTATGAGTTTGACAAAAGTGAACTTGAGGTAGATAAAATGAGGAGGTCAGTGATAATAGGTGAGAACGTGATTGGAAAGGTGGAGAGTTTTAAGTATTTAGGGTCAGTTGTGCAAAAGAGTGCTGGTATTGACGAGGATGTAAGATATAGAATTAAGTGCGGGTGGTTGAAATAAGGAGAAGCGTCTGGCGTCTTATGCGATAAAAGAATTACAATGAGGCTGAAAGATAAATTCTACAAGACTGTAATAAGGCCAACTGTGATGTATGGTTCAGAGTGTTGGGCGGTTGATAAGAAAGTAGAGCAGAGAATGAGTGTAGCAAAGATGAGAATGCTTAGATGGATGAGTTAAGTGACTAGAAAAGATAGAATAAGGAATGAGCATATAAGAGGGAGTATAGGTGTAGCGTCAATCGTAGATAAGATGAGAAAAAATAGATTTAGATGGTTATGAAGAGAGAGGAATAAGAAGTTATAAGAACAGTTATGGAAATGAATGTTGAAGGAAGAAGAGGTAGAGGAATGCAATTTGAGGACAGCTGATGTAAGCGTAGATGATGTGGGAAATTGTGTCAAGTGGAAATTTAGGATAAGGGTGGCTGACCCCAAGTAGTTGGGATTAAGGCGAAGAAGAAGAATATCTGCTGATATTCTGATCTGATATATCTGGGTCTAAAAAAACAATTTACAAAAATGAAAAAAAATTTTTTTTTCAAATAACTACAGTACAAAAACTGTATATTGTTGATATTGTCCAAAAATTAGAAGTAAATATTTTATTTAAAATTTTTTTGCAACAATAATTTAAGTTTGTAGAACACATTAAATAACTATTATTTTGTAATTAATCTACAAAATATATAAAATTACATTTTGTTTTTATTTATTAAAAAGTTTTTTAACTTAAAAATGTTTTGAAAAAAATTTTTTTGTATTGGTTTGGGTACTTCTGTAATAATGGGAATAATATTCTGGCAATTTATTTAAATTTTCTTGTAAAAATTAATAATATATTTATCTTTAAATAAAAACTCAATATTTCTTATAGTAAAAACTATTTTTTTTTTTTCATTTTTGTGCATTAGCTTTTTTAGATCTTATCCTAATATGAAATACTCAGAATATATTTGAATTTTTAATCCAAGTTTCATATTAAAATCATATTTGATTTTTGAAACAATAGAATTATGTACATTTTTTGACAATAATCGTTTTAAATAGTATATTAGGTGGTGAATTTTGTACTTTATGGATGGGTGATATAGATGACATTCTCTCAATGTTAGATTTAAAAGAAGATCATGAAAGTATTACTATTCGGTTTTATTGGTTACAAGCATTATTTCATTTACAAGAAAAAGAAATTGGGCTCACATGTGACGTGCTTAATACAGTAACTTATTTATTTGTTTTTTTAAGTATATTTTCTCTTATAATACTAAATTGTATTCTTTTTAATTTTTATATTAGTAAGTTTTCTGTAATTTATTTTTATTTATTAATATTTTAAAATTAATTTTATTAATTCAATTCAATAATAGTTCAATATGAATTTTTTTCAGTTATCATCTATTTTAAATAATTATGAAGATTATGAAATTGTGATACCAAATATAGAATATTTTTATAGAATTAATAAGAAAATAGTTGAAAAACTTATTATTACATTAAAACGGTTTGTTATAAATATATTATTGAAATTGTAATGATTGAATGGTATTATGTTAATTATCATTATTTTATAGTAATAAAATTCTCAGTACTGTGAAGGACTTGTATGAAGCACAGGACTTTAATACTGTTACTGAAATCTTAAAAGAAACATTGAAGTCTCAAAGCCGTACAACTATAGAAATACCTAACTATCAAACTATGACTCGATTAAATCAATATATATATCTGTTAAAATCATTTTTTGAATTGAAAAACTATAATGTATGCTTAAACAATTTAGAATTTTTTAAATTTTTTTAATATTTAATGATAAATGTATTTTTTAAAAAATCTACTACAATAAAAATTGATTTTATAATATTTTCCAGGAATTATTCAAGTGGTGTGAGCCATGTTTATATGAAGCTATATTACAACACCGTAAAAGTTTAATTGAAGAATGTGATTCAATCCAAAAAACCAGTCAAGCTGAATTTATAAATAATATTTTTAATGCAATGTTAGAATCAATAAGAATTGTTGGACTTCAAATTTGTAAGTGAATTCATTAAATACTTTAAGCGAAAATTAGTTTTAAAATGCGTTTTATGCCTTGTTTTCCTAGTTGATGACTTACCTCATGGATTTAAGTCTAGGCTACTACAATCAGTAATAAATTTACTATCATATCTCATTGAAACAGTTGAAGGAAATCCGGAAATTGATGCAATATCTCCGTGGTTGTTAATTTATAATCTATTAAAGCAGTAAGTTTTATATGCAATATGCCATTATTATAACTTTTGGTTATTTTATTTCAAGAAATTTAATTCTTTATCTATATTATAAAAATTATTTTTAGTGAAGAGTCAAGAGAAAGTTCAGTATCTTTACAAGTGTCCAGTATCCCTCAGTCATTGTCATTATTAATTCTTGGACATGAATATTTAGGAAAGTAAGAAATTAGAAATATAAACAGTAGTTTTACTATGTATTATAATTTTAATAATATATAAAAATGATAATTTTAATATGGAATTTAAAAATTCCCCGTAAAAAATATGTATCCTTTTATCCTTTTAATATTTATAAATATATTAATCAAAGTATAAATTTTTCTATGTATCATTCTTAGAAGATCATGGTGTTGTTTTGAAGATGGCGTTCTTCTCTACTTAATATTATGTGAAATAGAACCCTACATTCATTTAGATATTTATACTGAAACACTTGCACAACATGTAGAACAAATATTTCAATGTTTGTATACAAATTTAATGAAACGTAATAACAAACCTCGTGGTGTACAACTACAAGTAATATTTTGATATTTCATTATAACTATTTTTCATTAATTTGAAATTATATTAAAAAAATTTCAGCAACATAATTCTATGGGTCTTGCTCTGACATGGCCTCGTGCTAGACAATTAGCCTATTTTCATCAACCCATAGAACTGCCTACTTTTGATGGTGTGTATAAATTTTTTTCTGTGAATTGTGATACGGAAATAATATTCAAAAAAGTAATTGCTTTAATTCCTAATGAAATCAAACCAGGTAATTTATTAATATTATAATTTTATTGATTAAATTAATGAACTAAATTTAAATTATTATGTTTAATTGAAAAACTATTCATTATTATTTTTATTTAGATCGATATTTAGATACTTTAATGGAGTTTATAAGAGGTGAATCTAATAATCTTCCAGCGAATGATAATCCACTACCTAAAGATGTTGAACATGTTTTCTATCTTCTAGCTGATTACAACTTTAAAAATAAAAATTGGGTAGTTTAATTTATTTGTTAATATTAAATTAAATGTTAATTTTTTGAAAATATTTTTAGAATAAAGCTATACGATATTATTTACTTGATCTTTGCAATAAAATAAATCGCTTTGATTCATGGGCAGCTATGGCTTTGGCAAGAGGTAGTCAAATTGAAACAAAGTTAAATTCTGTAAGTGTTAAATTTTATATTCAATTATTTTATGCTTTAGAGGAAAGCAGTTTTTTTTATCTGAAATTTTGCATAAGTAAAAAAGAAAATATAATGAAAAATTTATAATAGGGCTAAAAAATGTGTTGTGTTATTATTGGATACTTTATGTATAGGGATTAAAACAAATAACAACATAAAATTAAAGATTTAAAAATAAAAACAAAAATAAAAATTTATTGAAAACTAATTTTTTATGGTATAAGAACATTTTTTTAAATAAATTTAATTCATATTTACATTTAAATTAATAATGTATTTTACTCTTAAAAAATATTAAAATATGTTTACTTTTTTCTAGTATTAGTTAAAATTAAATTACTAATAAGTAATATTGAAATATTATCTTTATATAAATATTTTCAAATTTCAAGTGTGAATCTATAAAAAATGAAGGAGATATAATTAGAAGAGCTCATATGACTGGAAGATGTTATAAACATTCATTAAAGATAAATCCTGAAAATACTACATTATTAATAGAATATGGTACATTTACATATAGTATTCACTCATACTGCTCACGTTTATTAAAACAAGTATGTATTTTTTAGTTGATTGTATTATTTAAAATTAAGAGCAAGATATAGTCAAAATTTAACTAAATAATAAATACTATATCCCAGTTAGTCTAAAGCTATTTATATTTATGTATTGACTTTTTAAAACCATTTTATATTTTGAACAGTCACAAACTAACTTGACATAATCAAAGACACCCTTATAGGAGATGAATAAAACCTTCTGTATAAAAAAATATATTCAAATATAATTTAAAGAGGGTTGTAAACATTTTTCTTAGATATACCATTCATGAAAAAATCTTTTAATAAATCTCTTCTTTTGTTATCTCATATACAAGGCACTTAAATGCAACAGGTAAACATAACTTTTTATACAAAAATTTAATTACGTGTATCATTAAACTATAATTGTGATTTTTACTTTGTAGTAATATATTAAAATAAAATTATGTATAAAAAAACATGAAATAAATGTTTTTGAATTTTTTATAGTGTTATCATAAAAACAAAAACTTATAATTTAATTTTCTCAAAATGATCATTTTTAATCCTTATATCCTAAACAACTTACCTAAAATTTTTATTTATCCTAAAATATTTCATTTTTATTGATGTTAAGAAACATAATATAGTTAACCAACAATTTTTTTAAGGAAACATCTAGTATGAGTTTGCAAATGTTTGGAGAGCTTGAAAAAGAAAAAGAAAAAATGATAAAAGTTGCACGAAAATGTTTTGAATCAGCAAACAATGTAAATATAGAATAAATTATAGCTTTTACTATTTTTAATAGTAATAAATATTAAACTTTGTCAAAATGTAGATTATCAAAAATAATTAGTATAGTGTAATCATTACAATTATAACTAAATAAGCATATTATTAGTCATTATATTTTATATATTAAGCAAATTCTTGTTATTATATTAATTCAGCTCTAAAAAAACTTATATAAAATGCTTTACTTTAGATATGATCTCACCAAAAAAAAATTACAAAATAAAATATTCCCAACCAGTCATATTCCTGATTAATACTGCAAAACATGAAATTTAACATTTAGATAATATTTATTTAATACTAAAATCATTTTATAACTTATTTTTAATAATAGTTCTTATTTATTTATAATATATATTAAAGAAATTTAATTACAATTTTTGAAACTTAAAATTTTTTTTATTGATAAACTTCTTTATTAATTTCAATTTATTTTATCACACTATTTATTAAGTTAAAGTAATATAGTATCAATATTTTTTTGATTTTTAAGGTATGGGAGTACACAGATTGTGATGCTCAAGATGAAAGATGGGTACACCATTATATACTTGGAAAAATAGCAGAAAAAAGTGATGATAATCCTTCTATATTTATGAAGCATTATTTAAAAGCTATAGAATATTTAGATTCATACGGAGCTAAGTATCCTGATCATATTCAATATACTACTCCATTATTATATTCTATTGAAGTATTGGAGGTAAATGAAATTTGTTTTTATTATATTTCTAGCCAATATTTTAAATTAAAAATTGACTAATTTTATTAAAACATCAAATCAATTGACAATTATTAATAGAAATGTGTATGTTACAAAAAAAAAAAAATCTGGATAAAGATAACTGAATCTATTACATTTAAATTGTTATATATATACTACTTACAAGTCATTTCAGAAATATTTAATGTATTTCTATACATAAAATATGTACCTTGTTATTTTTGAGATAAATTATTAATGTATAAAATATTGTAATATATACTGATATCACTAGAAAGAATTATTCTTTAAATTTGTTATGTTTTGTTGTGTCTTTTTTAACATAAATTAAATTTTTGTTAATATTTTTATTTAGATTTTTTATAGAATGCATGCGGGTACTTTAAAATTACTTGAAAAGTATGATAATAATTCCCTAAATGAAGAATTATTAATTGAAATTGAAAAAGCTTTAGATCAAATATCAAATAGCTCCCCTGTATGCAATAAAAACAAGTAAGCAATATAGTATTAGCCTAAATTAATTAATACATATATGTTTAACTAATACAAACTATAATTTAAAAATTCATTTTGTATTAATAATTTGATATAATGTTGTTATCATAAAATTTTAGATTTCATTTAGCGCCAATGATTTCTAATTTCTTCTCCTTTTTTAAAAATAATTTGCTTGAGTATGAATTGTATTGTCTTATTAAAAAAAATACATTGATTATTTACTTCATTGATTTATTATTATTACAATTTATTATCGTAATTTTTTTTTTCAAATATCAATTCCTTTTTCTATACACAAGTTGCGCTGAGCTATGTAGGTATTCCCATCCAATGTGACATGAGCAATAGAATTTAGAGAGGATGTTAAACATAATTAAAAATAATAATAATATAATACACATTATCACCTAATACAAATTTGTATTAATTGACTTGAATATTTAGTAATGTGTTTTTCCGATATTATAGTTTGGGGAGATTAGGATTTATCCCCCTAAATCAAAAAAATATTTCTACGCTAATATATAATCCTATGACAAAGTAACACAAACTTGAAACCTTTCAAAGGCTCAAACAAAATGTATAAATGTATATAATTCACATCCTTGGTAATGTGTATTTATATCAAATGTATATTTATTTATTTATATTTGCTTAATATTTTATATTTAATTATTTTACTGACACTTGATTTTTAGTAAATCAAACTTTCAATTTTCAAATTGTAAAATAAATGATGCAGAAGAATTGGATATAGTTGTTAAACAAACTTTAGATTGCATTCTCAATGAAGTTTTTGAATCCAAAAAGATAGAAAATACTCATTATATCATTAAAACAAGTTATAAAGCTAGCAAGTGTTTAAATCAAGAAAGGAATAACTTAACCTTTAATGAGAAATACTTGGAATTCCCAATAGTGCAGGTGAAGATATTATTTATATTTGCCATTATAGTATAGAATTGTATGTAATTCAGAGTAGTGCTGACTAAGAGTACCAAGAATAAAAGTGATTAAATAGATCACTGCGGACCTTATGTATTTGCATGTAAATATATAATTTATTACATTGGGAATGATCCCTGCTTATTGTTTTTTTATGAAACTATAAAGGCGCCTATAAGACAACTATTATCAGTGGCATATATAGAGGAGCTATAAGGGTTAAATCCCTTCTCATCGACTGTGCTAAACCAATATTTAATATAAAAAGTCACCAACTATTTTTTTTTTTTTTGAATATGCCCCTCTTCCATTTAATAATTTTATTACCACTAAATAGTATAATTAAATAATTTAAAATGTAATTACAGTGTTTAATATGACAATTATAATTAGATCTTACATTTTGTATACTGATATGAGATTGATATTTTTCTATTAAATTTAAAGGAACTTTATTTAATATAATAAATATTTTTCCTTGTGTTGCATAATAAGTGATATTTTTCCCTTTAAATTCTATAAATTGTATTTTTCTATTTCTACTTTAATTAATATTCAACATTTTTAAAATGATTAATTCAATGTTATATTTTTTAATAACAAAAATAAAACTATTTTATTAAAAATTATTAATACTATTTATAACTAATTTATTTATTTTTAAAAATTTAGGAAGATATGCTAGTACCTATAAAAAAAATTAAGTTGGATTGTATTCAAGGAAATAACCATTTATCTCAATGTAAGTTTATTTATAAATTTTTAAGATGCATCAAAATATTTGAAAGAGCAAATATATAGAGAGGATCAAATAAATAAGGTTTTAGATCTTAGGAATTTAGTGAAAAAAAATTTAGTTAAGGCAATTTATTGACCCTTTCATTTACTTTTTTGTAAAAGTTTAAATAAAATTTTTTTTTAATAGTACATTTGAAATTGATCCAACGTTGCATAAATGCTTTAGAAGACTGTATAAAGAGATTTCCTCAACATTATAAATCTTACTACAGATTAGCTCATTTTTATTTTCGATCATCTACTCACAAAAATTTTACAAAATGTAAGGAATTACTACTAGGGAGTCGTGGTTTATTTGCTGGCCAAAAAAATCACAATTTTTTTCAAGTAAATATCTCTTTCACTTAAAAATAATTTTGTACTTCACTTTTATTTTTTATTTATATTATAGGGTATTTGGCGAATACCAGTTTGTGAAATTGATAGACCAGGGTCATTTGCATATCATATGAGTAGATGTATTCATTTGCTATTGGACTTTCTAAAGGAAACGGGTGATTACAAATCATTGTTAGACTTAGCTATTCAGTTAAAAAATATTCCTGAACCAGAAAAGTAGGATCAACTTAGATGTTATCTTTACTTTTTATTAATAATTAATTATTTTTTAGAAAATATTTACGTGATGATGAACGGGAAGGTATTTCTAAAGAAGCTTTATTTCTTAGTATTCAAATACTGCGAAAACTTAAGTTAGAAAATTCAAAATTTAATAATCAATCTAAAAATGAACTTTTATTAGTTGAAGTGTATAAAATTTACAAAAAAGTGATGAAGCACTGGCAGCAAAAAGAAAACACAATATCATTATCTAAATTATTACTAAATATATACCAGAATATTTTAGGAACTAAGGTAATGCTTTTATATTTTTATTAAAATGATTAAATTTCAATATAAATTCAAGTTAATTAAAATACTTTTGTTCAAAAATGAAATAAAACTATACCTTCATAACAATTAGTAAATCAATTTTTGATTTACTAATTTTTACATAAGAAGAAATGTGGTATTTGCTGACAAGAATTAATTTATAAAACCTTTAATCAATTATATATATAATTTAACTAGATAATAACTTTTGAACTAGTATTTCTAAAATTGAAGGTGAGGTGCAGATTATGTTATTTTTATTATTATGTATTACTCCTCTTTGTATCAAATGTATACAATTTTCATGACTTCTGAAATACTGATTCAAAAGTTGTTATTGACCAGTCATTAATTTAGTTGGACTATTTTCCAATATTTAAAGTAGTATAATATGTTAGCCATATGCAATAAATTGGATAAATCAATAATAAAAAAAAAAGAAAAAATTTAAATATTTGTTTGCTTTTAAAAAAAAATTAAGTTGGTACCCTTTCAAACGGTAAGGGATAAATCTAAAAAATATTAAACAACTTATTAATCGAGAAACAAATAGTGGCAAATAAAGCAAAATAAAAAAAATTCTCAAAAGTTTATTATTTTAAGAAAAAGTTAAACCAATTATCTTGTATACTTTAAATAAATTTTGTAGTTAAAATTTTTTTTCTTTTAGGAAGAGGTTTCTATTGATGTAATAATAAAGCATGCTCAAAAGCTTGACAAACAAAAAGAGACTGGGAAGGTTGTATCCAATAATGATTATGTTACATAATTAAAAATATATTTTTCAATTTTTTTTTTTTTACAGGTTATATGTTCTACAACTGCACAATCAAAATCTGCAGTAAAACCAGAATCTCTTCAAACATCAACTCCTTTACCTCCCAAATCGCAAAAAAGATCATTTCATCCTGATCCATCTTCTAGTATACCTTATTATCAAGATTTATCAAATCAATTATTGTCTTTTATGTCTTCATTGCAAAATCCAAATAAATGTCCTTCACCAATTCAGTTAAGTAACAGTGATATTACATTACAACAGAAACTACAAGCAACTAAACAAAAACTGAAACGTAGTCACAAGCAAAAACATTTTGTCTCCATTAATAAATCACCTATTAATAACTTGTTGGAACAACCTAATATGAATGCATTTCAGTATGAAAAATCAAAAAAAAATCTGAATATTAATTATGGAGAGTCAAAATTTGTTCAAAATTTTAAATCACGTGAATTAGATATAAATTATACTCCACAAAGTTCAAAGAATATTAACACCAGTAAAATTAATGAATCTAAAATAAGTCCCCATTTTAAATCTACAATAGAGTTAGAAGTAGGTAGAAAATTGAGTTGTGTTAGATCAAATAAATTGTCAAAAGGGCAATCTTTAGAAAAATCAAAATTTAACAGTGTAATAAACTATGAAAAAATCAGACCAGTAGAATTTAATCAAATAAATAATATTCATGAAAAAAACTTCATCAAAGGAAAAGTCAAACAGTCTAATTTGGTTAAACCAAATTCGGTATATATTGATTTAGATTCTGCTGCAGAACAGGCTCGATTACAATCTAATGTATTTCAAAATAAAATAGAAATGAAAAATACACCTATTTCTCTAAATCCAGCAACATTGCTATCATCTTGTCCTGGTTTAAGTATAACTCCTGTTGTAAATTCAAATGATAATATAAACATACACAAAGGTCCACACTACTCAAATAGTATTCCCTCATCTCAAAATTTTAATTTTCAACAAGCAATTCAGCAACTTGGAAAAAATTTAACAATTACCAAAACTGAAAAAAATAGTAACAATGGTAATAAATCAATTTCAGAAATAATTTTCATAGATTAACTTTAAATTAACTGTCAATTTTTTTCCTATATTAAATATAAATATATTTTTGATCTATACTTTTTTTAAATCTTATTATTTAAATTAAAAAAGTGCACATTTAAATTTATTGTGTGGCTTGGTAATTATTGTGTGAAGTTATACATTTATATCAGTATTAATGTTAGTAGTTTTCTATTTTCTGTTTTTTCTTTTTTAATATCTAGTCAAATGGTGTTGTAGTAATTGTAATTAATTATATGTATTGTCTTATTTTATCTTCAATGTGTATATAATTATCATGATTTTTTGACATTAATTTATACTAAAATTATTATTTTTTCTACAAGATATTTGAAACCTAATAAATAAGTATATTTTTTAATGTTTTTTAGTATTGTAATAACTTAAAATTATTATTGTACTAATTTTTAATCTTTTAATGTTTAAATATTTTATCTGAAACTATAAAGATTTCGAATAATAGATTTAGTTGAAGGTCAGACTCACATATCCTCTTGGGTACTCTTTAAAAATAACTTCCTCTTATAAGCTTACATTAAGATCACATATGTAACTAGGGGAAAGTAGCTTAGCCCCCTAACATTTTTATTCTAGTTTTACTTATGATTATGACTATTTAAGTAGTAGAATGCAAGGAAACAAGGTAACCTGGTGGTGGGATGTGAACGTTCAGAAAATTATTAAGAGTAAGAATAAGTAGTTCAAAGTATAGCAGAAGAGCAAAAAGAGAGAAGATTGGATGGAGTATAAATGCTTGTGCGAAGAAGCTAAGTGTGGAGTAAGTAAGGCGAAGTTTATGTGGTATGATAAGCTACTAGGTACAAATGAAGTTGAAAAATAAGTATATAGACTTGCAAAAGTAAAAGAAAAAAAAATATTATCATTATGTAAGGTGTATAAAAAGTGTTGGTATTATCAAATGATGATGATGTGAAAAAAAAGCGGAAAGAGTATTTTGAGTATCCAAGAGAGATATTAGAGTATATCTCAAGGAATGAGAGACTGGTAGGTTTAATTAGTGAGAAAGAGGTACGGGAGATTGTGGCATCAATGAAAAAGAATAAAGCAGTAGGACCAGATGAAGTGCCGTGTTAGGCAACCCAGTAACACTGGCTGTGTTGTGAACCAGCTCTTGATTAATTTCGGGCTGATTCACAACGTGGTGGTGTGAATTGTATAGACGGCGTGGGCTGCCCTGAAGTAATGCCTAACGGCAGTTCCAGGGCGGTCCATAACAATGCCGGGTGTGGAAAAATAAAAGTCAGTTTTGATATAAGTTAGGCGGGTGGCGATCCGGACAGTTTCGGCATACCGAACGGTGTCCGGAGTGACTGCGAATATTCTGTCGTCACTACTGACCGCCGACTTACTCGCTGAGGTCCTTGTTTAAAAAATCTGTGACGTCCTTGGTTTTTATAATTAATTTTTTGGGGGTTCTTCTTAAAATTCTACGTCTTTTTTGTCATTTAGATAGTCCACGATTTGATTGCCCATTCGTCTCTTTATATTCAAATGAATACGATCGTCAAAAATAGATAATATTGAAGTTTCTACTCCAAGGTACCTTAAATGATTTACAATCTTTTTGATAGCTAATTAAGCTACTTGTGCATCATCAAGTGCTTTTAAAAATAAAATATTATATGGAGATTCAATAGAATTAGATACCATAAACCAAAATTTTATATAGCATTTAACAACTAAACAACATATTATTTTTAATGATTTTAATCCAAATGGAATGAAACGGCATTGTATTTGGAAAAAAACATTTTGAGACAATAAATAGCTTTGCATATTAATCTAGCTCAATGGTAAGCGCCTGGTTTTCGACAATTAATGCCTTTAGGTAATATCCAACCTAAAAAAACTCAGCACAGGGGGGTCGCGGCACAGTGGTGACGTGGCATAGATGGATCAAGTATAATGATATCTGACAGTGAATAAAATCACTATCAAAAAAAAACGCTTCGATGCAAATCTTTAGATAGTGTTTAATTTTAAAAAATTGGTGGATTATTCCAAAAGCTACATGATCTGCTAGTTCATTATTAATATCCTAATTAAGATAAAGTATATCAAAGGAAAAAAGGATTATTAAAAAATATTATTTCTCATAAAAAAATTATGTTGATCCATACACTTTTTAATAAGTTATAGCATTATAAAGTTAAATATAATATAAAAAATAAAATCGAGAATTTTCACACAATAATAGCATTTGGTAGCCATTATCACAGTGAAGATAAAATAAAGTCCGAAATTTTTTTTTTCCATGATAAAGTATATTACATTAGCTTAATTTAAGATACATGTTTAAAGGACGCAGTCTTTCCGGAACATTTTCAAAAGTAAATTTGAAAAAATTAATTTTTTGCGAAAAAGTTGTCATTTAAAGATTTATAAAAAAAATATACCAAATGATAGGTAAAGACATCATGATTCTATAAAAAAAAGAATTATATTGATCCATACATCTTTCAAAAAGTTATAGCATTATAAAGTTAAAAATATAAAAAAGAATTTTTTTACAAAAATCGTATTTTAGCTTTGATGCGAAGCTGAGAAGGTATTGGTTTTACTAAGATGTGTTTTTTTTTTTTTTTGTGTCTGTTACCACTTTTTCTCAGCTCTCACCGAACCGATTTCTTTCAATGATACGTCAAAAGATCACAAATCGTATCTAGTCGAAGACATTACCCTTAAAAATTGAAAAAAATTCCCTCGTTCCCCGTAAATGGGGGAAACCTCCAAAAAAATTACAAATTTAAAAATCGCTAATTTTCGAAATTTTTTCAATTTTTTTTACTTAAAAGTGCCATAACTTTTTCAAAAATGAACATATCAATATAATTCTTTTTTATATAGATGCATAATATCATTACCTTTCATTTGGTATATTTTTTTCATAAATTTAACCCTTAACCTGCCCACAAGGGGGGATTTAAAATGACAACTTTTTCACAAAAAATTAATTTTTTTAACTTAAATTTTGAAAATGTTCCGGAAGGTCTGACACTTTTATATATATCTTAAATTAAAGCTAATGTAATATGCTTTATCATGAAAAAAAAAAATTTCGGACTTTATCTTATCTTCATGGTGAAAATGGCTACCGAATGCTATTTTTGTGTGAAAATTTTCGATTTTGTATTTTCCATTTTTAACTTTATTATGCTATAACTTTTTGAAAAATGTATGAATCATTACAATTTTTTTATGAGAAGTAGTATTTATATAGATCTTTCATTCGACATACTGTTTTTTTAAATCGGACCATTTCCCTAAATACAGGGGGGATTCAAAACATAAAAATGCATATAGAAAGTAGAACTTTTTCAACGTAACTTTTGAAAGTGTTCCGGAAGGTCTGACACTTTTATATATATCTTAAATTAAAGCTAATGTAATATACTTTATAATGGTAAAAAAAAATTTCGGACTTTATTTTATCTTCATGGTGAAAACAGACATTAAACTTAATAAAAAAAATACGATTTTTGTAAAAAAATTCTTTTTTATATTTTTAACTTTATAATGCTATAACTTCTCGAAAGATGTATGGATCAATATAATTCTTTTTTTTGTAGATGCATGATGTCTTTACCTATCATTTGGTATATTTTTTTTATAAATCTGACTTTTTACCTGCCTACAGGGGGGGATTCAAAATGACAACTTTTTCACAAAAAATTGACTTTTTCAACTTAAATTTTGAAAGTGTTCCGGAAAGTCTGACACTTTTATATATATCTTAAATTAAAGCTAATGTAATATACTTTATCATGGAAAAAAAAAATTTCGGACTTTATTTTATCTTCAAGGTGAAAATGGCTACCAAATGCTATTATTGTGTGAAAATTCTCAATTTTATTTTTTACATTTTTAACATTATAATGCTATAACTTATTGAGAAGTGTATTGATCAATATAATTTTTTTATGGGAAATACTATTTTCTAATAATCTCTTTTTTATTCGACATACTTTGTCTTAATCAGGATATTAATAAGGAACTAGCAGTTTATGAAGCTTTTGGAATAATCCACCAATTTTTTAAAATTAAACACTATCTAAAGATTTGCATCGAAGCGTTTTTTTTTGATAGTGATTTTAATCACTGTCAGATATCATTATACTTGATCCAACTATGCCACGTCACCACTGTGCCGCGACCCCCCTGTGCTGGGTTTTTTTATGAGGACGGTGGAAAATACCACCTCTTTTTTTTAATAAGTTTGATGTCTGTTTTCACCATGAAGATAAATTCAATAAATAATATTATTAAAATAAATTCTATGTTTTCGCGAATAACAAAATTAAATAATTTTTATTACTTAAACGTTGAACAATCAATGTTACNAATATTATTAAAATAAATTCTATGTTTTCGCGAATAACAAAATTAAATAATTTTTATTACTTAAACGTTGAACAATCAATGTTGAAAAATCAAAAAAATTTGTAAAGACCTTTTTTTTACATTATTGTTTATTGCATTATTAATTCTATGGAATTTATAAGTATATACAAGGTGATTTTTTTATCATAACCAACTCAATTACTTATAGAATAAATATAATTTAAACATTTTTCTTTTTGGTTATCTTTAGTTACACATTATTCTTGAATTATTAACTATTGAAAACTTTTTATGTTCATCCCTTATGCCTTGTAAGTGTGACAACTTTTTTTTTTTAAATAGGAACATATTTTGAATTTAATAAAATTGTGGTGTACACTCTCTATAATAATATCGTCGTTATCAGTTGCTGACCGGCATTCGATGAGACCGGTTTGTGTCGTGAGCTTTTATATTAAAATGTTATTCATCTAATAACTTGTGTATTTAATTTATTAAATTAGTTATTATAAATTAAGGGTGAAAGGATCTACAACAAAAATGTTTATTGATTGTTTATTGTCAATTATGATTATCAATAGATATAATTTCTGTATTGCCAGTTAGTGTATTTATGAACTCACAACAATGTGCCTTACTACTATTGATAATAAAAATATTATGCAGGTACACGGACCTGCATATATTNAATAACGCACCCCAATTGTATGGATCATGATTTAAAGCTTTTAATGCTTGTACATGCGCGTTTAGTGAATCAACTAAATGTTTTAATTTAATGGCTGATTCTTTATTGATTGGTTCCAGGTCAAATATACGTTTCGTGTGTGTTTGAATCAACATACGGGTATTATTGTATCTCATCGTAATTATTTTCCATGCAATTTCATAATTCGATGACGACGTTTCTAAATTTTTAATTAATGAGCTCGCTTCACCTTCCAGTGCATTTCTTAAATAGTAAAATTTTTCAATATCTGTTAATGCATTATTTGAATGT